GCAATGTATCGATTTCACAAATAATTACATTTGAACATATAATCAAAGCAAATGTAAATGGTGCAAAACTTGCAAAAGCCATTTCACTTTAAATTGATTATATTTTTTATGCTTTTTTATGGCGTAATCTTTTAAAAATTCACTTTCATATTTAGATATATGATTATGTATGCTCTTTTTTTCATCCACATTTGATGTAAAAACATTTATGTACAATTGACAATGCCAATTCTTTCAATAAAACTACTTGTTTATCGAACTTCTCTTTCCCTAATATTTCCATTTATCAGCCACGAACCAAAACTACGGTTAATTTGATATCATAACATTTCAAGAAACCATAACTCTTACTATACACAGTGCATTACAATGTCCATAAAATCTTTTAAATTAACTTTAAAATTCATACAGCCGTTTATTAATTCATTTATTATTGTTATTATTATTATTATTATCTTAATGTATTTAAGACAAACACGGGCTGCCTTTAAAATAACTTCATATTTATTATTTGAAAAAGTCCTTATACGGTCAAAATAAAAAATGTAAACACATGTTCTGTATACGTTGAGTCGTGGAAATCTTCGGTGATTCCCCTCCAATGTCCGTGAAGCCGCGCGATAATTCAAGTGTGTAAGAAATGAACTTTAAAACAATTTTTTTTTCTCTTTATCTTTATAGTGACTCTTTTCTAGGGTTTCATGCAGCTTTACATTCTAACGTTACTTTTCATTTCCATAAAATTAACTCACATTTGTTCTAATTCTAGTTTTTTCTTTATCATTGAAATGGTCGGGATCGGCTCTGTTAAATATGTATACGGGAAACGTGTGGGGATTCACCGAAAATTTCCGCGCGATATTTTAAATATTGCTTTTCAAGCAAATATTGGTACATTATTTATCTCTCAGAATAATGTATTAAGATTGCCATTTCTGGTAAGTAAAAAAAATATGTAGAAAAAAAGCGCATGCAATCACACATTTGCAACTTTAGATAATGCATGTGGTGTAACGGTTGCATAATTTGTTTTTGTTTTTTATTGCACTAGTTCGGCGGGAGTGACTGTTCCTTACTTTTATCAGTAGATACTGGTTAGCAGTGGGTTGACATGTTCTGAAAAGAGCACATAGTAATTTGACTATCACATCTTTTTAATGCACCCTTCAATTTATTCAAATTAGAGAAAATTGTTGAAATTTGAAAATTCGGTCCAACATGGACAATTGTTTTAAATCTAATATAAAAAATACTTTAAAATGATTGAAGTACTATTTTCAAATGTGTTATTGGTTCTATTTCATTGAAATTTTGTGGAAAAGGAGGAGAGTGATATTATTAATATTAAGAACAGTAATGTGGTGCAAGGTAATATTTTGTACGTAATTAAACATTAACATATGTTTTCTTTGTTTGGTAATGCAGGAATTAATGGTTGTAGCCAATGCAGAAATGGTTGTAACCGTTAATCCCTGCATTAACAAACAGATTTATTATTTATATTTGAAAAATTAAAATTTATGTATAGAAGTTCCCAGGATTCATATAAATCAAAGTATCATTAATGAATCAATGTAACACTTAATTCATATACAAATTCTTAGGGAAACTATCCTAATTAAAGGACTCCCCTTCCCAGTATCAGGAAGTGATATGAGATCTGCCACAGTTACTTTTTATTCTAATGTATAAACAGTATTGATTCATTTTAACAATGGTCATACTATCAAAACCTGATTTATAAACAACCATTTATACTTATTATAAACAATACAAATAATGATAAAATAATTAATAACGAGCTTTATTGCGACACAACACATGTTAAACTACAGAAAAATAACAATATTTAAAACTTTAATTATAGATCGACAGAAAAAATAGATGTGTATCAAACAAATGTTGAATTTGAATTGAATTTGCGAAGCGATTTAGCTGAGAAGGTAATATTTCATTAAACCTTACCATGTGAGCTTTTTCAGAGGTAAATTTTGTTCCTGTAAACGGTATCTTGTTCTGTACATGAAAACGAAAGTTGAAACTTGCATGATTGACCGGTCTTGTAAAGTAGGCTTTTCCCTCAAAAATCTTTTTCCTCGGAAAACTGGCTCTAGAATAGGATTTCCTCTCGGAAAATAGGCTCTAGAGAAGAATATCTCCCACAAAAAAACGACTCTAAAGTAGGATTTCCCCTTTGGAAATCCCACACCAGATTCAATTTTCTGCTTGAAAATCCTACTCTTGCAATAGAATTTCTTACAAAATCAATTGCCTGTACTTATATATGAGGGGAAGGGGGCGATACATTGTTACAAGTGTCCCTTTTATACTGCTTTCGTAGTGGACAATCTTAATAAAGCTTCACAAAAATACAGTGTATAATCAGAAAGTTTAGTTGTGTCTTTTAGACATTTAAATTTTCAAAATTTCGACCAGTTCCATTGAAACATACAAAATATGAAAATTGAAAATTTTAAATCTCATTTTTATTCAGTTTTGGTTGTTTTATTGTTTAACGTCCCTCTCGAGAATTTTTCACTCATATGGAGACGCCACCACTTGCCGATGGAAAGCTGCAAATTTTCTCCTATACTCGGCACTTAGGGCCATTGAGCAGTGAGGGATCTTTTTCGTGCCAGCACCTACTGCGACACGGGACATCGGTTTATACGATCTCTTCCGAAAGACCGTCTCCACGTCCCACAGTGGGATTCGAACCCGCGACGTAAGGATCAACTCCTTACTCCGCGACTCTAGAGCGAACGCTCTAACCACTGTGCCACCCGGACCAATTTTTATTCAGTAACTAATTCTTTTGAAGCGTTGTTTTATTTTCATCTTGTCAAACTAGTTTCTGGAGAAAAAAAAATGGGGGAAAAAATGTTAGCGGTTGGACAATTTTCTAATTGTAGCCATGGAATCAAAAAGGAGGAAATTTATTTTATTTGGATTTTTTTTTTCTCCAGTTGTATTTTAATCTGCATGTACATAAACATGTTTAAATAGCCAAAATAACTGCTGTTGCCATGAAACTAAAAATGGTCTATCTCTAAAATTTTGAAATTTGGCAAAACTTTGGATATTTTACTAGAAAAAGACGTTAATGGTAAGCTAACAACAAAACTTTATGATAAACGTGATGACTTCAACTTTTCTATCGTCAACTTCCCTTACTTATGTAGCAATTATACCTTTATCACCTGCATATAGGGTTTATATCTCCCAGTTGATTCGATAAACAAGAGCATGCTCCACGTAAGAACAATTTCTAAAACGAGGCAAGCTATTGACAAATAAGTTGATAAAACAAGGATATCAACAGTCTCGTTTGGAGTCATCATTTCGCAAGTTCTAAGGTCGACCTTGTCAGCAAATACAATCTATCATTTAGTAGAATGCTGACTGACGATTTTCTTACTAATTGTTAGGCCATTATTTAAACACTGAATAGCCTACGGATTTTTTTCCGTTTGCCCGATCATGACAAGGAGCACACAGCAAGTGTTACCAGTCGACAGGGGATGCTTATTCTCCATGGTACCTGATCCCACCTCTGATGTTTTTAGAGGTCCCTATTTGCTCTGCTCCCAATTTGTATAGTTTCATTGGACTTAAGACCTTGATTGCTGTTCGTTACTTCCATGTTTCATTTAAGAGAGTAATTGCTTTCTAGTTTCAAATCCTCTGGGGACGAGGGGACATTCTTATGCTAGGGCTTGCAAAAAAAGGTTTCTTATATTCTTTTGTTTTTGTGTTTGGTTTTGGATTTTTTTCTTTCTTCTCTTTGAAGATCTACTCGATTCAAATACTCAAAATGGTATGATGAACCTATCAATATACTAGTAATATATTTTTTTTATTAATTTCCTCACACAGTCTTTGTAAAAAGTACTTACCGATAGATAAAATAATTATCTGTCCGGTAGAAGACAAACAAATTAAATCTCTACAGGTGGCATAATACATTTTAAAAGTCGTGAACAAACAGGTACCGTTGCACTTAGAAAGGTGTTGAGACATCAATCCTTACGAATTTGCGAGTGACTAATTTTACCATTTGCATTTTTTATGAGTTATTGATAAAATGTTTTGTTGGGTCAATGATTTGAACAATTCTTGAGTTGAAAACACTTATATTTTTATTTTGATTTTTGGCATTAAAAATATAGGAGAAATCGTACTCTGAGAAAGAAAGAGGGAGAAATCTAGATCTGGCTCTAGAATGAGATTGGCCCTTGCGGGAAGTCCTATTCTAGAGTCGAGGGTGAAAGCCAGCTTTAAGGGAAATCCTACTCTACAACACCGGTTCTAGCTATACATTTGATACATAAAGTATGTGCAATATTCGAGACTATTGCGATGTCTAACACTACAAAACATCACATACAAGCAATGACATTGCATAATTCACTCAATGTTATCAATTTATCTATCTATCTATATATATATATATATATATATATATATAAAAAACAATGCGTTTTGATTGAAGTTGAAAGAAAGTGACCGGTCGGCAGGACATGCTCACTCCTCCATGGCACCTGATCCCACCTCTGATGTTTTAGAGGTCCGTGTTTGCTCTGCTCCTATTTTGTAATGTTTAATGGACTTTTGAGCTCGAATACTGATATATATATATCATATATTTCATTGTGTTAAAATGTAATAATTCTCACTTCACGTCATTTGTAAAACATTCATACATGTATCTATTGTTTTCCCTTAAATACTACTTAGTTCAAATCTGTGTCTTGTAGAAGCGTTTTGGACTTTGTGTAAGTAAGAAATGTCGAATAATTAAGTAAATTCACAAACCTGTTGAAATTTGGATTTAAGGAAGATTACCGGTATCTCTTGCTCACTTGCTGCAATATTGCAAATACATATGCTAACAATTTTCTAAATTAATTCATGCGATAATATCATAAGTACTAAATGCATGATTTAGAGGAGAAAAAACAAGTGTTGTCGTGAACATACTATCCTATTTTTAGAATTCTCTATCTAAGTGGTTCCCTGAAAAGAGGGATGTAAGGATGGAGGAGAGGGAGAGGGGGATATTGAGGAAGAGCAGGAGCATATTTACACGTGACCTTGTGGATCTGGACACAGTATGTGACCGACTTTATCAGAGGGAGGTCCTGAGTGAAGGAATGAAGAATGAAGTTTTGGTAAATATCAAAAAGTTGTCCTCGATTAAGACATGTAGATGATGTTCAGTGTTAACTCCAGTAGTTAATCACTGGTATATGATATACAAGTGATTATTTTCTGGAGTTGACACTGATGATTTATCGGCCATATTATATATAATAGGATAATTTTCTTCAAATTAAGACCTTAAAATGAAAATCATATACTTACATCAATCAAGATCTGAAAGACAATGGTAACAAAAAAAAAGCTAAATATACCTATTCCAAGAGAAAAAAAATAACACCAAGGTGGCTCAATGGGAAGATAGTCCATGTGTGTGCAAAGAGTTTGACAACTGAAGACTTTGTGGTGGACAGTAAATGACTGTCCACCAAACACTCGGCGTTAGGTGTGAAATATCACTTGTCTTTCTCATAATTTGGTCCCAAGGTAAAATACAGAACACTAATTGTATGGAAATAAATGTTCTTTATTTTAGTAACTTGTTATTATTTTGTGAGAAAGGAGATTTCATGAAAAGTTGGGCTGAGTAAAATGGCTATGGTTCGACAAATAAGAAAGTGAAATAATATCGTTGATATTTCAATCAATGTTAATATATTTTATGTAAAATCTCCTAATTTTGCAACAGTTTCGCAAGTGTAAAATTATTCGTCTATAAAAAAGCAGGCACACACCAAAGACGGCAAAAATGATCAACTCTTCTAACTATATTATGCCGAGTATACAATTTCTCTATAAAAGTGGGTCCTTGCTCTATAGTTTCGAAAGTATTTTTTTCAAAATGTTTAAAAATATACAATTTTACTTAACAAAAACATAAAGGAAGGAGCGACTCTGCCTTAAAAATACTGTTATGACGCAAAATTCGTATCTATTCGAGAAATATCAGAAGTCCAGTTAACAAGCAACATTCAAATTCTAGTACCAGCTATGAGCTATGTGGTGTAGTGGTACATGTAAGCGTGTCAGTCTCAAAGAAAAAAGTTATACTCAGAATTTTTATCGTTTAGATTCAATACCCAAGAAGTCCTAATTATTCTTTTCACCATAGAATAATTTTTGCCGAGCGAATTTTTAACACCGGAAAGTTCTGTCATAATTTCATACCTTTCAATAATAAGAACATTGCTCGACATACTAAGTTCACAAATTAAAGGTACTTAGACACAGATTTGAACTTAATATTTTCTCAATTTTTCTGTATAATATCACGACTTATATATTGCAATTACGGAAGCCCGTTGGGGCCAATTCAGAGAAAGAAATATTTTTTATTGCGTTTAAACGCAATAATTATTGCGTTTAATCGCAAAACATTGCGTTTAATTGCAATAATCATTGCGTTTAAACGCAAAAGATTGCGGTTAATCGCAATGTATATTGTGTTTAAACGCAAAACACTTTGCGTTTAATCGCAAAAGATTGCGATTAAACGCAATCTTTTGCGTTTAAACGCAATACTTTTGCGATTAAACGCAATAATTTTTGCGTTTAATCGCAATGATATTTTTGCGTTTAAACGCAATAATTTTTGCGATTAAACGCAATACTTTTGCGTTTAATCGCAATAATTTTTGCATTTAAACGCAATACTTTTGCGATTAAACGCAATAATCTTTGCGTTCAAAGGCAATAATCTTTGTGTTTAAAGGCAGTCATTTGTATCAAACCTTGCAGAGTACAATGGACCCACGCATACTTATATCTTTTATTTCTTTCTCTTTCTTATTAGGAAATTGTGTGTTGTCTTTATAGAATCAGATTTCTCCGAGCAAACACTCTCTGAAAGGTAAACCACTAATAAGAATTTATAGAGGAGAAAAAAAATGTCGGGTTGTAAAAACAAAGGAATCCTAAGAACGAGACATGTCTTAAGCTTATTCTCTACATTTTTAATGAAGTTTCGGTCAGTTGTTCTGCTAAAAAAAAACTGTCACATACGTTGCAGTCACAAGTTTAAATCATGTATAAAGGGATTTTTGGAAAGGACTGAGGAAATGCTGGAATTACGTACAACATGATGAAGTATTTAGACTTCAATGTACATTCATAACCCTTCCTATGGTTGCATACAGTAAACACAAGAACATATGTGATGGATTTATATGAGGTCAAAATTAAAAACAAATGAAAACAGATTGATCGATGTGCACTACATGTATCAAATTGACACGTGCTATTAATACCACTGAAACTTTCTCTATAAGTTGTGATACACGTAAGCAATTGATCAGAGACTTCATTAAGAGTTTTGGGTTCTAATACATTTAAGACATTCAGGTTGTTAGGATGCCATTGTTTTATTACAATTTTCAAAAACTGGAAAATTTTGCAAAAAGACACAGAACAAATCGGATCTTCTTAAAGTTGAAGTGTCGGGTCCTAGCACATGTAATTATAAGCTTTGACTAATTCATGTTTGATTTTGAAACTACAGTATCATTGTGTTTAAATGCAAAACAAATCCTTATAAGGAAGGATTATTGCGTTTAAACGCAAAGATTATTGCGTTTAATCGCAAAATTATTGCGTTTAATCGCAATACTATTGCGTTTAATCGCAAAAGTATTGCGTTTAATTGCAAAATATTATTGCGTTTAAACGCAAAAACTATTGCGTTTAAACGCAAAAAGTATTGCGTTTAATCGCAAAAATCATTGCGTTTAATCGCAAAAATATTATTGCGTTTAAACGCAAAAACTTTTGCGCATAATCGCAAAGTCATTGCGTTTAAACGCAAAAGATTGCGTTTAATCGCAATCTTTTGCGATTAAACGCAAAGTGTTTTGCGTTTGAACGCAATATACATTGCGATTAAACGCAATCTTTTGCGTTTAAACGCAATGATTATTGCGATTAAACGCAATGCTTTGCGATTAAACGCAATAATTATTGCGTTTAAACGCAAAAAAAAAATATTTCTTTCTCTGATTTGGCCTCAACGGGCTTCCGTATGCAATAGCATTTCACACGAAAATATAATTAAAAACTTATTTTATCTGGAAATTATTGAAACTACGAATTCCGGGACGCGTTTGATTAACGCATCTTTGCACTTACACAAATTTTAACCTTATCCTTAATACATGTATTTAAAAAAAGAAGCAATTTTGTTATGTATTAATGAAAAATATTACATCTATAATCCAGAAAATTCAGAGTAGAAATGTTCGAAAGCAAAACCAAATCACCAGTATTGTCAGTCCGTGATCTGTGATGTGTGCAGAGTTTAACAAATTGAACATACCCGTGAAACGTAAACTGTTTTTGTAAACAGGGCACGAGCTCTGTTATTGTTAATGTTTACGATTCACCGGGTATATTCAATTGTTAAAATCTGCACACACCACTGAGCAGGGACTTACATAATACTGAGTGGGTTTTGCTTTCGAACAATTCTACTCTGAAATTTCTGGGTTATAGTTTTACTATTTTTCATTAATACACAACAAAATTGCCACTTTTCTTAAGTATTAAGAATAAAATTAAAATATGTCAAAGCGCAAGGATGTGTCAATCCAACGCATCCAGAAATTCGAAGTTTTAATAACTTAATTCGAGATGAAATAAGATTTTTATTATATTTTAGTATGAAATGCTATAGCAACATATAAGTCATGAAATAATACAGAAAATTTGAGAAAATATTAACTTCAAATCTGTGTCCAAGTACCCTTAAATTGGTTTTTTACATATTTGACACTTCATGCATTTTGCACGCCTTGTTCGCCCATCTTCTTTCACATCATGCTTTGAAATGATAAATTTGATGTCCCCATGAAAACGATTTACTATACACAGTTTTGTTAATGCTAGCTTATGTCCTTTTGCAGACAAACTGCTCTCTCTCTCTCTCTCTCTCTCTCTCTCTCACACACACAATAAAAATGGATATTGTAATTGTCCATCTACAAAATTGTTTTACCGACAAAAACTTATAACTGAAACTATATGACAAACGGGATGACCAACGTACTTTTCCATCATAATCTTCGAATAAAGTAATGTAGTAATATTCAATTATTACTTACATGGAGAGTTTATGCCTCCCTATGCAACCGATTCAATTAGCAAGAGCATATTCGGAATGCAATCAGTTTTTAAGCCGAAGCAAGCTACTGACAAATATGTTGATGATAGACTTTCTACAGTCTACGTATAAAGTCAGCTTTTCGAAAATTCTATGGTCTTTATAATGACTTCATTTGCAATACAATCTATCCTTGGGCCCTATTTTGACCGATTTGTTTCCCACCAATTGTTGGGCTATACTAATTTTGCCGATAAATTATTCTGTTTTCCTCATCAGTTTAGAAGGCTCACTGTGGGACTGACCGGTTGACAGGGGATACTTAGTCTTCTTATGCAACTGATTTCACCTCTGGTGTTTCTGGGGTTCGTTATTTGGTCGTTTTCTGTTCGTATTTTTACAGATGTTATATGGAGATAACGAACAGTATTCAAGCTCAAAGTCCATTAAAACAATACAAAATCGGGAGCAGAGCAAACACGGACCCCCAAAAACATCAGAGGCTGGATCAGGTGCCATGGAGAAGTGAGCATCCCCTGCCGACCGGTCACACCCACTGTGTGCTCCTTGTCAAGATCGTGAAATAACGGTAGAATCCGTCGACAATTCAGTGTGTAAATTTAATGAAAATGATCCCTGTTTGTGATTTTTACCTTTATATATCAAACATAGCCAAATGTGCCTTGCGTGAATTTCTTCGTGAAAAATTCACGAACACAATTGCACTTTCCTGGGAAAATTTTACCTGAAATTTATTTCGGCACTTTCATCGAAAATTGAAATGAATTTGAAGATCTTTCAGTATGGCAAGGCAGGGAACCATCTTACTCAAAACTTTCCTGCAAACTGTCCCCACAATATATTAAAGACACTTTTTGACGCCATGAAATCTGCTTCTTCAATATTAATGGAACTTTAATAACAATATTCATTTTCCTCCCGGCATTAATTCAGTATATCTCATTGAACTAGAAATAAAGGACACCATAGAAATTGACAGATCTGTTTCATAACTAAATGATTTACTAGAGAAAATCATTGATGGCAAACTGACAACTTAACTTTTTGATAAACGTCATGACTTCAACTTTACTCTTATTAACTTTCTTATTCATGTAGTAATAATTCATAATCACCTGCATGTGGAGTTTATGTCTCCCGGTTGATTCGATTCTAATTCGTTTGTACGTATTTCTTAAACGAGACAGGCTATTGACAAATAAGTTGATGATTCAAGGATATCAGCATCCTTGTTGAAAGTCAACATTTGGCAAATTCTATGGTCGATACGATGACCTTGTTTGAAAATACGATCTGTCGTTATGTCCAATGTTGACTGTCATCTTTCATAAAAATTGCTAGGCCATTATTTTCACACGAATTGTCTACGGATTATCCCTTAATTTAACATTACAAGGAGCACAACAAAGCGGGTGTGACCGGTCAACAGGGGATGCTTACTCCTCCATTACACCTGATCCCACCTCTGTTTTAAGTGGTCCGTGTTGGCTCTGCTCCTAAATCATACTGCTTTAATGGACTTTTGAGAATGATTACTGTTCTTTAGCTTACATTTCATCTTACACCATGTCAGCATCCTTATCAGGCGGGGTTTTTTGGCACAGTTAACATCCGGTCTCTCATGATGTTAATTACCATCAGTTTCTTTACATTTTTACTGACAACAGTAGTACTTTTCTATCGAGGTGATACATTGTAAAGTCCCAAATATATAATTATGGGAATGTCAGCTTCTTCAAGTTTGTCGCTCCGTCTTCCTTTCTGAATTCTGTTCCATGTGTTAATCGCTTACTAGTATTCCAAGTTTGGGTCAACTTATTAAGATAATCTGGAGAATTACTTGCCATACATGCAGTCGTTATACATGTTTTTATTTTAATAATTAGCCAGCGCAACCTGGTATGAAGAAGTGTGCATTTAGCTTGGCTTAACCCTGTTGATTCTCTGTAGATTTAATACTTTTTTAAAAAATGGTGCTTCTAGTGTCCTTTGGTTTGATGAGATTTTTAATTTATCTACAAAGAGCCTTTTAATTAAATCTTTAAAGAATAACAGATTTTAAAGCATAATTAACCTTGATTTGTAGTCTGAGAAGACCAGGGAAAATCAAGTAAGAAAACTTCTGGACATAATTCCAAAGCGAGGCAAAAGAGCATACGGGGCTTTCTTTGACGCTTTGGAAGAGACTTTTCAGCATAACCTCTCTGGCATTCTCTAGTAAGTAAATAAATTTGCTTTAGGCAAATCACTTTTATAAGCTTATATTACTAAGCAAACTTGGGAGATTGTGCAAAAAAGGTTTATTTTATCTATATTTCATATACAATTGATGCCATGAAGAGGGTAATTAAAAAAGCATGATGAAAGAGATTCATGGAAAAGGCCAAAACTCTCTCTCTCTCTCAATGACCCCAGTTAATTAGTCTTCAAAAAATGGCGATGAAACGTGCAAATGTTCGTAATACAAAGCTTTTTTTTTTCTCTGACAATGTGCCGATTTGCATGGTAAATTTTGTCGCCCGGGAGAAAAGGCTAGGCTTACCTCGGCACAGCTTGTCGCCGGTGTCAATATATACTGATGGACTACAATATGTGCAGTAAGGGTACGCCGGTACATATTGTCGCCGGTGAAAATATGTACAGGGCGACAAAATGTACCGACAGGGACCCTCAAGAACGGTGTTATATGCCCATTTTCTAAATTAATTCATTCAATTTTGATTACCATGCTTCAGTCAACATAAAGTGCAAGCGAGTCTATGTGCCATATTGAATTATTAATATATACCTGTTATTTTATGTACTGTTCAAAATTACCAATGGACAAAAGTTTCTGAAAAAGAAACAAACATTTTATTAATTATATGATTGAATTCTATAGTCCAGGGGGCAAGAAAGATTTATTTGAAAACCGGAAGTCCGAAAGGTTTCCTTTAATAAAGAGTGCGTCGGCGACAGTGGAATCAAACAGAGAAATTCAGAAGCCCCCGCTCATGAGAAGTATGTCAGCAGAGGTTAGACGGGAACCCGTGGAATCGATCAGCGAGATCCAGGACCAGTCCTTCACGTGTGAGCTACCTCTAGAGGAAAAAGATTTCCAAAAGTTATCCATTGTAGACGAAGAGTTTACCTTACCTGAGAGTAAGAATCCATCTCCAAGACATACATGTATTTATATTCTAGCCATAATTACGGGAATTCTGAGCTTGTACTATCATAAAGTTGCTCCTACATAAACTTACAGTACGTCTAATTATCTATGTTGTATTTATTGCGTTGAGAGCTTTTCTCTCTGTCTACGTAAACTTTTTTGCCACGCATGGTTACCGATTTTGATGAAATTTAACCCATTATTACAACTACACACCAGAAACATATATCAAATACAATCTGGTTGCTATGAGTCTTTGCAACAGCAGAAAAAGTTTGAAAAATTTAGATTTTCAGCTACTTTGAATCTTTATTGACCTTAATATATATTATATACATGTATATAATATTATAAATATATAGCTCCTCGGAGCTGATTTTGCAGAGGACGATGTTCGATTAGTATATAATAGTTGTATCCTTAACTTGTATAAAAATAGTGAATATATAAGCTCAATAAATCACTAGCTTACCTTATTGAATATAGTGTTATAATCATTTGTCAGAATTGAGAATTTGTTCTTATTGTGTTAGAATGGCCTTCAGAACCGGAACATGCGCAGTCATTGAATTTCAAAGTCCACAGGTCTCTAAGCTCATCAGCTCTTTCTAGCCTTAATGTGGTATGTATTCCAATTGTCCACTTTGATAACTTTAGATGAATTCCACCCGATTTTAAAAACATACATACATACTCTTTCGACAGAAATCCGACGTCTATTCTATGGTGAAGAAACCTCGGGGAAGATTAGTCATCATCAACAACTTCAAATTTGGCAGTGATGAAGTGGACCTGGAGAGGATGGAGAGATCCCAACAAGATGCCACCAGTTTGGATTTGTTGTTCAAACAACTTTATTTCAAGACTAAACAACACAGCAACCTAACATTAAAGGTCTTTTTTTAATTTTTTCTATATGCTAGCCTTTTTATATTCCAAATATAATACAAACTACCTTCGGTTACCGTTCTCAAATTTTTATGACAATTTTTTGAAAATGTCTGCTTAATATCGAAACTTTGATATCTCTTTATAGGAACTTTCTGCCGTATTGGAGAAGGAGCGAACATGTGACCACGCCTCACTGGAGTGTTACGTAATGGTCGTTATGTCACGTGGTGACGGAGACCACATCTACGGTGTGAACGGTTACAAGATAAATATAGACACCATCATTTCAATGTACGATGATGAACACTGCAGCAGTCTAAGAGGAATCCCAAAGATATTTATTTTCCAAGCATGTGATGATGGTTCGTGCGTGCCAGATCACAAAATCCAACATTCTTTTCCTTTGAACTAGATAATATATGCATGAAGAGACATAAATACCATGGCATTTAAGTCTCTGATGCATGTATCTTTAAGGAAATTCATGTTCATAGGTCTCTTTACAGCAAAATCTAAATCGGTGCACGAAATGAAAAAGAATACTGAGAACCTTACATCTATGGTGTCATCTTCAACAACGTCAGGACACACTGTGAACATGAGGGCCGACATGTTTGTTGTAAGGGCAACGCAAGATGGTAGATATGAGTTGTATTATCTTCCATAATGTGAACAAAACGAATTTCATTGCAATACGCAATTTCAAACCCAGTAATTTTGTTTTCAGTGGCAGTAAGTTATCACGGTGTGTTTGGCTCAAGATTTATACAATCCTTTGTATATCTTATGCGCAACTTAGCATTCAAAGAAGACCTTGAAGAAATTGTTAAAAAGGTAATCTAGATTACAGATTACAATCAAGGATCAAGGGGCTTCTCCTTACTTTTAGTACCATAACCAATGAACTAAAAGCATTCATTATACCAGTGTACCTCTAAATTTTACCATGTTTTCAATTTGATTTACAGATAAATCACCTGAACTCGGTCAGTGAGCCAGAGATAGTGGAATATGCCAGCTCATTTACAAGAAAACTATTTTTTAATCCTTGACCTTTTTTAAGACCCAAGGCAGAGGATATTCTTTGTGAATTTTGTTGGTGTGAATGACTTAGTTTGATGTGACTTCAATGTATTGTACAAGTCCATAGAGACTACGCACATCACAGTTTTATACAAAGTGCAATATCATTATGCTTTTATTTATAAGTATCTTTCAAACAGTATTTTCACAATAAAATGAAACTGTATTAAAACATATTCAGAAATATGTGTAGCTTTTATTTTGATTGAATATTTAATTATTATCAAATCTTTTATATGGTATATAAAGCTGTACTATTAACACTTCTAGAGCAGATTTAGATGTCTTGTCCTGGTGTCATCAAATATCGGTAGATCAGCATTTCAACCTATCTAAAACATTGTCTTAAAATATCATTCAAATACAATTTATATGCTTATAAGCAGAGACATCAATAACATTTAAGTCTATTTTTAAGAATATTTCAACAAACACATGGCCATGCCTATATAGGCGCATGATAGAGCCTTTAACATAATTACATGTTTGTTTGACACATTGTTACATTGCTCCAGTGCTATTTACTCTAGGTAGGAAAAGTAAGATGGAACTTACAGGTGGGTGTCAAAGGTCAACTACAATATTACATTAATTAAAATTAAGGGAAAAAATAATGAGTCGGAGACAAAATACACCATACTGAATGCAGCTTAATTTCTTAGTTACAATGTATCCGCAACAAATGCAATATCACTTTTACATTAATACTGAGTACATAGGTGGTATTACATAGATTAGCAAGAGTCAAGGTCCCAGTCCCTATACCACTATACACAAAGAGCACACATACAGAGACATGTATATCTTGTAAACATATTAATACATGTAAGTGTGTCATAAAGATAACACACTGACATATAAAATTAAATGCTTCATCAGCATCATCTGCCTGGATACTCAGATTCCATGCATTACAGCTCTAATTTTACCTCCTTCTCTAAAATACAGTTTGCAAATTGAGAATGCTGTAGCAAAATTATATTAAAATGCTGATTTTCCCCCTGCCTAAGAGAACATGAAGCAGTAAACAACTTGTGGAATCCATGTAAATTCTTAAAGGAAATCAGCTTTCTGTCACTCATCTGGAACAAAATCCAACACTACTGATAAAAAGTCATAAACCCAATTTCCTACTGTCCAAATATTCCCTCATCCACTACACAGAGTGATGTCAGAAGATTCCGGAAGTCGTCGAGGGTCCAGGGGGTAGCGCTGACAGGAACAGGATGATGACTGCTACTCTGGGGGCTGAAGGACAATGGGTGTGTTCAAAACAACTTATGAAATCAAATTAACAAATTAATGGAAAGTGTTTCAATTAAAATCAACCAATGAGGAGGTACGAAACAATCAGGGTCAGAGAAAAAAGATTTTAAAGTAACTTGTGTGTATGTGTTATATTTAAAAAAGACAATCAGTATCAACTAACTTAGATTTCGTCACTAACCCAACATTGAAGTTACCGGTAAAAGTATGTTAGCAAAGCTTGTTTATTATTAAATGCATTACAATAAATTATGTGCAAAGGTTCAGAATAAATCTGTAGCTGAAATGTTCTAATTTATTTAGTCAAATGAGAATCATTGGTAAGATAACCTGTGGTTGGTTAGAGTTACACCATTACATCTACCTCTAATACTTGTCATATATTTCACTTACTTGATCGATGATGGATTGTTGAAGGTCACAAGTATATCTGAGGTAAATTTGGAGATGCGGAACAGACCAATGTGCATATCTACTGTGTTTTTGGCTGCCTCATTAAATTTGGAGACATTCTGTTGTCCTAGCACATAGTAGGCATTGTCACACCTACAAAAAAACCAAACAAAAGTTAAGGAGAATCTTCCTGTGTAACTATCATGAATCTTACATGACGTCTTACCAGCTATCAGAAACTCACAACCTGCAAGCTGTTTTTTTTTTAGAGATTTACTGTGTCATTTTAAGGTCCGTGTTAGGAATTTCTTCAATCTGATTTAAACCAGGCAGTTAGAGACTTATTGTGTCATTTTAAGGTCCGTGTTAGGAATTTCTTCAATCTGATTTAAACCAGGCAGTTAGAGACTTACTGTGTCATTTTAAGGTCCGTGTTAGGAATTTCTTCTATCTGAACAATATTGGCATCTCCACTCTGAACATCATTGTCTGAGGCCAGATCACTAAAGTGGGTCCTAGAAAACATACATAAAATTAAATATGTATTGTGTAAAAAGTTTTTATTTACAATAAATACATGTCACCTTTAAATAGTATAGTACACTAACATGGATACATCCAAAATCAGAACTATAAGGGCTAGGGTCAAAATGAGAAATCTTTAAAAAGCTCATGTGTATATTAATGTTCAATGTACTCTGAAAAACTTTATTAGCCTAATTGCTGGCTAAGTACTCTCTGGATTTTAATAAATTGATTGATTATTTGAAGTAGAAAAGACACAACAAAGTGCGACCTTTTTCTAAAACTACCTATAATCCATGCTAAAGACAATATCTGTCTGAAATCTACTTTTTTGTTTCTCCATTATCTTTGTTCACACATTCCAGAATTTCTATAATGATGCTCTGGTCTGTGACTTGGTTACTGACACTTACTTTATTGCTGGGTTACTGATAATTACATTACTACTGGGTTACTGATAATTACTTTACTGCTGGGTGACTGATAATTACCTTACTGATGGGTGACTGACAATTACTTTAATGCTGGGTGACTGACACTTACTTTATTGTTGGGTGACTGACACTTACTATATTGTTGGGTTACTAACATTTACTTTATTGTTGGATTACTGACAAATACTTTATTGCTTGGTTATTGACACTTACTTTAATGCTGGGTTATTGACACTTACTTTACTGCTGGGTTACTGACATTGACTTTATTGCTGGGTTACTAATACAGTTGAACTTCGGTGTCTCGAACACTGATATCTCGAATACCATAGATATGTCGAAGTGATTTGGAAGTCCTAGCCCTTTATTCTTTTTAAGTATTTTACCTCATATTTCTCAAATACTCGGATATCTCGAAGTTTTTCCTTAGTCCCATTGAGTTCGAGATAACGAGGTTTGACTGTACTTACTTTAATGCTGGGTTACTGACACTTACATTATTGCTTCTATGTCATCTTTGTCCACGTATTCCAGGATTTCTATGATAATACTCTGGTCTGTGACTGGTTACCGATACTTACTTTATTGCTTCTTCATCATCTTTGTCCACGTATTCCAGGATTTCTATGATAATACTCTGGTCTGTGACTGGATTACTGATACTTACTTTATTGCTTCTTCATCATCTTTGTCCACGTATTCCAGGATTTCTATGATAATACTCTGGTCTGTGACTGGTTACCGATACTTACTTTATTGCTTCTTCATCATCTTTGTCCACGTATTCCAGGATTTCTATGATAATACTCTGGTCTGTGACTGAGTTACCGATACTTACTTTATCGCTTCTTCATCATCTTTGTCCACATATTCCAGGATTTCTATGATAATACTCTGGTCTGTGACTGGGTGAGCAAACACTTCCTGGTTGTCTGGAATCTGGCGAATGTCACTAAATAATAAAGTGTAAAATATGTATTTGGAAAATTAATACTGAAAAAACTTTATTGGCTACTTGAAGTAGCTACTTTATTTGGCTACTTGAAGTAGCTTTATTTAACACAAATTTTCACAAATATGCTTTTTACTTAAAATTGCCAAAAAAAAAATCGCAAGTACAACTACAGTAAAACACGCTTATAGCGAACATGCTTATGTAATGAATTGACGCTATAGCAAAGTGATTTTCATTCACCGTGACTTTAAAATATGTTTTAAACTTAAAGGATATTTCAAATTACGCTTATAATGAAGCAAAATTGCCCGTCCTTGGCACTTCGTTATAAACATGTTTTACTGTACTGATATTCTTACAATGGAGTTTTTAAAAAAGCAACTCAGAGCAGCAATAAACTCAGAGTTTATTGCTGCTTTTGAACATTTTAAAGCAAATGATGCATTTCCACTGTTTGAGTAACTGTGTACACCACCTTGTGTTCGGTGAGGCATGGATAAGTACGGCTACTTTACACTGTGCTGAATTATTACCAATCGTCATGTTAACCAGAACTGGTCTTCATTGTTATTTCATTAAATAAGTAACTGTTTGGTCTCACATTAACTGCTGTACATATAGCCCAAAAACTTTTAAAACTTTGAATGCAATTGTGCTAGCTGAAGGAAACACATCTTTGAGAGTGATTTTTAATGAATTGTTTTCAGATCAGTTCAAAGTTCAAAATTATTACTTCATCAAAGTGTGATATTTTGTACATCCTGAAAAAAAAATGCTCATTTAACGTAGTGTAGTCTAATTTTGTGCCAATTAGATTGAAATCAGATGAAAACTGTAGCAGGAGTCATTTTTAAAGGAATTTTACAGAAATTTCTATTTTTAGTAACCATGGCAACACCATTCATTGAAATCAAAAACCGATGCATTAAATTGTGTATCTTAGTGTAGTCTACTCATGTGCCAAGTTATATTGAAATCAGACCAAAACTGTAGGAGAAGTAGCGTTTTAAAGGAATTTCACAGAAATTTTTATTTCTAGTAACCATGGCAACAACATTCATCAAAATCAAAAACCGATGCACTAAGTTATGTATCTTATTATAGTCTACTTGTGTGCCAAGTTATACTGAAATCAGACAAAAACTGTAGGAGAAGTAGCGTTTTGAAAAATTGTTTACAGACAGACGGACAGACAGACAGACAGACAGACGGACGGACGCGGGACACCTTACTATCGCATAAGCTCTTCTGGTCTCTGACCAGTAGAGCTAAAAAATAAGTATGTTTTATTAGCTATAACATTCACACTTCAGGCAGAAAAATAAAGCTACGTAGGTAATTCAAGCTATGTAGCTAAATGTAGTACCTATACTGGACCTGTTGTACATGACTATTGGGAGTCAATGCAATTTATTGCCTAGAGCAGCTGCACAATGTATACTAAATTTGTAGTACAGTTAGCTCAGAATACATTTGGAAGGTGAAGAAACTTGTAATATACAGGTTGGGGGAAATGTAAATTCCACTATAATAGTGGTATATCACTATTATACTGAGATTCCGCTATATATTCAGCCGTATTCATCCTCAATTTCAACAAATAACATGCTTGCATGCTGTTTAAAGTGCAATTCATGGTGGGTAATAAAATGGACAATAATTGGCACCCTTACATGTTGAATTTTATTAGATTTTCTGCCGATGTGTTTATAATGCAAACACACTTTTTAAAACTGAAGTTACATTTTTAACATAGCAACCAGTGATTGCAGTAGCCTTCAAGAAAGGCTGAATCTCAATTTTTCTCACATGTGTGCACAAATTAATGCTTGTAGTAACTTTCAACCCACATTGAAAGAGATTTGTCAAGAAGAAAAGATGATTTTTGTCTGTATGATTACAATTATGGAGGCCCATTGTGACAAATAAAGGTCCATTACATGTATACTTTATTCTGGCGGAATCAATTTGTATCATCTAAATGCAATAAATTGTAAACAATCTATAAAAAGTTGTCACTTTTACAGGTAATCCCAAGTATAATGTTTCTTTTCTGGATTATAAAACTACATGTTCAAACTGTTAGTCTTATCCAGAAAAGACACATATTACTGATTACATTGATTTGGTAGCCTGTGAAGAAACTTATGACCGTCACACAACCGTAAGAATACGGACAAATCCTCCGTCATAAATGCAAAGACTTCTCCAATCTGCATATTGTATTTCAAAAAATATTCACACATGAACAAACCCTTAAAAGAAAACACTTCACACTAGTCAGTACTGTAGTCTGTACTGTCAGTAGTCTACCTGATGTCCTTGGCGTTTTCTGGAAGATGAACAGTGAGGGCTCCCCCAAATAATTCCTGTACTTTCATAGACATTTCGAATGTTAAAAATTATATTCGAACAAGGATTAAATATTACTAACAGCTATTATTAGAGTAACACACATAACAAACTTGCACAATCGCATGTTCATCAACTTCATGTTTACTTTCAGTTTCACTTTAAGTGAGGTCACTTAAACGCTTAGGGATAATATCAAAATTCATTTTCTCCTATTTTTATCGTATTATAATTCGTTTCTTTTTATTATTTTTTTTTTTATTTCCTTTCAAGTATCAAAAACAGGTTAAATCTCAAGTTCGATGTACTAAATAATGGATAAGTCATACCTCCCCTTTCCCAACGACGCATTGGAGAGCGATCACTGATGTTGATACTGTAACGCAACTGAGGGTAAAGTAGCTTGTGATTATATCCAAATCTGCTTAAACCCCAGACAAGTCACAAAATTATGTGGATCCTGTGCTATTCGCAACACATGCGTAGGATTTTGAGATCTTTATAGATCAATAAGAACAACACTTTGCTTGTATTATGGAAATTTACATCAACATAACATCATAGTAAATCAAGAAATAGAGGAGAAGTGCTTGCCGCACATGTATTCTCTCACCCTGTATATATATCTGTCGACAGCCCAATATAGTTAGGCTTCTATTAGGCACCCAAATAATAGGGCCTCCTACTACCTAACATGATTAGGCCACCATTAGGTGTCGGGCACCAAGTTATAGGGCCTCTTACCACCTAACATACATGTAATTAGGCCTCTAAGACACCCAATATTATTAGGGCGCCATTAGGCTACCTATAGCTAGCGATAAACAAAAATTCACTCTAAGTATAAAAGTTAACTACTTAACCATACATTTTCAGTTGAGGGGGCACTATCAACTACCAAAAATTTCTTGACAAGCAAAAAAAAAAAAAAAAAGGTCATCAGACGTTTTTATTGAGGGGGCACAAGCATATAGTAGCTATGCTTTCTATTGTAATCTATATATCGGCAAAATTATTGGGGGGGGCACGGTCCCCCGTGCCCCCCCCCGGTTCCTACGGCCATGTAACAAGGCTACATCCATGCAGGGACCTATATATTAGTATATAGGTCCCTGATCCATGCAAGTTTAGGTAGAACTTTCAGTTATACTAATACATGTACTTGGGGATGAATCTGCATCAAAACTTCAACTTGGTTAATAATTGGGGGAAATATCAGTCATTAATTAGGAGATTCCAGAGCATATGTGCTCTCCCTATATTATACAGTTATGGAATGGGTACGAGGGAAATAGCAAATTTATGGTTCCCCGAGGGAGGAAAAATAGTTTCCTGCCGAGGGGAACCATAAATTTGCTATTTCCCTCGTACCCATTCCATAACTGTTTTATTATACCGAAACAATCATAGACGATTTAATTTTTTCACCAGACATTCCGACATTTAAAAAAAAACAATGTAGAGGCAAAATCACAAATACATGCGGTTTAACACATTGTTATAAGTAATGCATCGTGTCCTAAAACAATTAAATTATTTTTAAAAAGTATTTTCACTGACATTTCGAAGAATTATCGTTGCCTTCATTTCGCTAGAATCCAAGTATGATTTTGACATCGCATGTCGAAATGTTTTGACGTCATAGTTACATTGCTAATAACATGACGTCACAGACTCGATATTTCTTAAACGCTCCGCCCACTGAACACTTTGATTGGTTAAAATTACTAATAAATATTCATAAGGGAGTAGTCCCAGGGAGTAGTCCTCAGATGAGGGAAATAGTCTCTTCTCGTGGAAATAGACAGTTTTATGGTATTAATTTTATATAGAGTAATTACAGTGGAGGTATAATAAACAGATATATGCATCATCCATGAAAGTTTGGCCAGGTTAAAATATATTTGCTTGGGGAATGGACTAGCATGCTTCAAAAATGTTTATCGGGACAAAGAGCTCATTTTAACTTCATTGACATGAATTAATAAAAAAAATTATTTAAAAATTGTTTATTATATGTCTTATACATAAACATTTTTTATCAATGTTAAAATTGAAATCTGGTAATTAACCTGAGATTATGAATCTCTATTGAGTATTTAGAAGTTACCAGTCAGCTTTTATTTCCTTGTGATTGTTTTTGCTAGATGGACCACATTGCAAGAAGTTTTTTCCTACATTCTGTGGTACATGTACAGTGTAAACATAAATAAGTTGTGTTACCTTGTAAGGTAATGAAAATGAACCATTCCTTATTTTTTTTAAATAAAAAAAAAATAAGAACACAATTTTTCTTTGTTTTTATTCATTTGTAAAATTTACATGCACACAAAAACAGATTGAATTTAGAATGAGATCAATGCTTCTGATAAAGTGAATGTGAGTTTCTTGACAAGGAAAATTTTGTATATCTGAACAAGTACTCAACAATTCCATGCATTTCATCCATTCACAATGTTCATGTAATACAAGTATGACTAACCTCTGATGCTGCATAATATTAAATACTGGAGAAATGTATTTCTAAATTGTGTGTGTAAGTCATTATGATTAGACACAGCATTAAATATACTTATACGTGTACACTTATATACATGTACATTAAAAGTACATGTTTAAAATTTGCTTTGTTTCTTCAGCATATACCACATAGTATATGTATTTTGTTATCACACAATAATAAAGGTAGAAGAAACTGAAAGAAAAAGCTCAAGAACAAAGTTCTGACTGGAAGAGAGTTTTACAATTAATTCACACAAAACTTCAAGATACACCAATAAATAATGCCTCACAAAGTCTTATTCTCACACATTCTTTCACATCATTCTACCCACAAAAAGACAAAGTATTAACTGTAAACATTTCTTACTCCCTGTGAATCAGATAGGATTAATCATAAATAGTAATGTTTTTAAAACATCTAGTACTGTTGCAAATGCATGCAAAACAACAAAAATATAAAACAGTGCAAACATTAGGAATAAAGTCTGTAGATTCTATAAATTCTAGCACATTCTGTGAAAAAAAAACTGTACAGAAGCACATTTTCACGGATTGTAAATTTTCCATGGATTAACGAGTTAGGACTTTGGGGTGAACTGCACATTTACAGTATTTAAACTTCATAAATATTACCCTTATGCTTAGTAATTTTTTGTATAAACATGAACATGTTAGAAGAAAATTTTTTTTTAACAGTTTTAACTAACAGTATACACTTATTCACTTCTGGAAAATTAAACAAAGATTTTGACACCTTGTATTAGTCTTTGATAACGTATACAATCTGATAAACCTGTGGCAAAAACAGGAAACTGCACTTGATGACTTCTATTGACTAATCATATATTGTCATGGAAAACAATCAACATAAAATGATACTGAGTTTCTTTTTCTCCTTTGAGGTCCTCTCTATAAGTTTTCTATTTTAATGAGCAGTCCATGTAACAACACTGATCCTCTTTCTTTTGTGGCCCACTCTAACTCATTGTTTGAGAACTGTGGATCTATTTGTTCATTGAGTCCGAGACTTTGAGGTCCTACTTTGTATGACCCAGGCTTTAACCACACTTGAAATGCAACACGAACATGGAATGTCCTTTTGGTTCTCAGTTCCAATAACCTGAAAATATAAGACATTTTTAATGGGCATACCTAATATACTGTATTTATTCTATATTAATATGTGGTTCCATGATACATTTATATGATTATCATAAGATTATATTGGAATTACTGCATGATGTGTGTATTTTATTTTAATTTTATGTGATGATCTCAACATAAAAACTAGAGGTACTGTGAGCACTAAGCTCACACAATGATACCTTGCTCCCATGTGAGTATAATGACAAAGTCCATGTTTTGCTATGGAAAACCCTAAACATTTGTCCCAGAAGGTGCACAGTGACACTATGTAATAAAGATTCTGTAAAAGTCTCATTAAATTTTATTCACTGATAGAGGAGCTGCTGATAATAGATGGGTATCCCTAAGTGTTAAGAACGGACACCCCATCACTTTTACTTGACTTGGGTGACAATTCGTTATACATCCTATGTATCGTATGGAGGGTGATTTGAATTTGTATTATGACTTAATTGACTTTGGTGAAAACTAGTTACATCCTATGTATCATATGGTGTGAGACATCTGACTTCCTTGAACTCAGGTGAGAACTCGTTACATCCTATGTATCATATGGTGGGAGACAATCATGATGAGTTTTCTGTGACTTACTTGAATCTGGGTGACAACTCATATTACATCCTATTTATTGAATGATGGGAGTCATGATGATTTGTCTGTGATTTAATTAAACTAGGGTGAGAACTTGTTACTTCCTATGTATCATATGCATATGGTGGGAGACATGATGATTTTTGACTTGAATTTTGGTGAAAACACATTACATCTATGTATCATATAGTGGAAGACATGGTGATTTGTCTGCAACTTGCTTGATCTTTGGCGAGAACTCATTTCATCCTATGTATCGTACAGTGGGAGACGTGATTATTTGTCTGTGACTTGCTTGAATTAGGTAAGAACTTGTTACATCCTATGTATCATATGGTGGGAGACTTGATGGTTTGTCTCTTACTTGTACTTGGATGAGAACTCATTACCTCCATGTTTTGTATGATGGGAGACATGAAGATTTTTGACTCACTTGAATTTAGGTGAGAACTCGTTACATCCTATGTATCGTATGGTGGGAGACATAAGGATTTGTCTGAGACTGGAACTGTCTGGACGGGATTTTTCGGTGAATGGTACAGATTGAGGTAGGAGAGTACTTCCTCCTCCCATCTGGTCATCTACAAACACAAATCTCTGTAACTTCAAAAGGATTATATAGGCAAATCAATCAATCAAATCTTGATAATTATACAACAGCTTGATTAAATATATTAAGAATGTAAATCACAGGTACATGTATGTATATGTAAAACTAAAAAAAAAAATTTAGATGATCCTTTTTTATTGGATCTTTTTCATTTTTAATGTTTTTTTTTAAATTTTCATATAGATAATTTACAAGTTTTTAACAAGCGTGTTTGAAATGATTTGGCTCAGGGAGCCAGACAAGTAGACTGGTTTTGCAGTTGACCCTTTTTAAACATAAATAAAACTACTTTCAGATCAATTCTTTCCTTTCCCAAATATGTAGACAATAAGTGTATATGCTATTAGAAGGTTTTATGTGACTGTACAACTCACTACAGGTGTGTATATCTCCAGTATCCAGGATCTTTCTGAGGACCTCCAGCTGTGTACCATAATACGCCACATGCCACTTGTCAGATGCCACAAAGGAAGGTGCTTTCTGGCGTTGTCTACAAATTAAAATAACATATTCCCTAACAGCCATGAGTAAGATCTGTGATGAAAATAAGAAATTGAATTGTTTGATTGAATTAAGAAGGATTGTCTCCAATGGGATAATTGCATGATTTAATTCATTAGTTATTACTCATCTTATAAAAGATTCACCAACAATTTGTCCAGATAAAAAATACAGTGCTGTTGTCTCACAAAAATACAGTCGAGCAAGAATACGTGATTAAAAGTAACATACAAATTGTATATTAATATCAGTACTCAGTATGTGCTTCCATGGTACTTATAAACAGTGTTCAACACAATATACATGAAACTTATATGTATAATATGAATTTTTCAAAAAATGAGTATATTTGATAAATGTTTCCATAAGTTTGACTGATTTAATGAGGCTCACTTGAGAATGTATCGGCACCACCCCAAGGGTACTGCATACTCCCTGGGTGGTTCCCCCCTCCTGAGGTACAGGTCCTCTGACCTCAGTTTATGGCAAGATTCACAATAACATGTCATCTGCTGTTCTTGGAAAAATCCATCTGAAATTGAAGTGTTCAGGATGTTTACAGTCTAAATCTATTATTAATATTCTCTCTACAGAAAGTGATAACAGTTTATCTCTGATGACATACTGTTGCAATATCAGACAGGAAGGGAATTCCTGTTACAACTGAAGTTTGTTGATAGTCCTGGATCTTAAGCAGTCACTACAACAGAGAGAACACTAGAAATACTAGTAATTCTCCATGTGTTTTACTTACCAGGTATGCCCATCAGGCTCCTGACCTTGGAGCAGGTCTTAGCGTACTCACACGGCCGAATCACTACACTCCCCAGGATGGTCTCACTTGGACTATTCTTCTCTTTCATCACTGACAAAAAAATACAGAAGCCTTATTTTTTAAGGAAGTGAAACATAGCGTTGTTGTAGAAAGTCATCTATGACATTTGATTTTTCTGTAATTTTTCTTTTGTAAACATATATTTTCAATGACAGTTAAAAGTGATATGTTCGTACATGTGTAACATGAACTTTGAAAACCTGACAGAAGTTTTTAAGTTTTTACAATCATCTAGCAATCCACCATGAATGAGGACATTTTCCAAGTAGGAAATTAAGTCTCACTGTCAATGCATACATGAACTTTGAAAACCTGACAGTTTTAAAAAGTTTTTACAATCATCTAGCAATCCACCATGAATGATGACATTTTCCAAGTAGGAAATTAAGTCTCACTGTCAATGTTGACCTGCCTTTTTTTTTCATGTAAAAAGTGTCACACATATAATGCTTTATACCATATATCTCTTACACAACTGATAAATATACTGAATGTAAACAACTGATAATTAAACTGAATGTAAACAACTGATAATTATACTGAATGATTTTAACCAGTTCTCAGTCTTACCAAGTATTCAGAAATCAACCCACCTTCTTCAATGTCTTCCTTCTCTGATTTCTCCTTGTCTTTATGCTTTCGTTCAAGCGATTCACCACTGTCCATGTTTGGGACAACTGTCACCTGAAATGCCAGCATAAAGTTATTTATAAAATCCCATGTAATGTATACCAATGTAATGTATTTTCTTTGAACCTTGCAAGCACTAATAGAGAAAAGATTTAACAGATTCTTTGAGAAAATTTTCATCAGTTTTCTTACTTGTAAAAAATAATGAATGAATAAACTTGTACTAAATGGAAATAGTTCTGTTCATAACAACATGTGCTGTCCTACTTGGCAATGATAATGGTAGCTTTCACAAACCTCTCAAAACCATAAAATTGAGAGTTTCTGGTTAAAGAAAGTCAATGTCTCTATTCACTCACAATGAACTCACATTGTTGACCATGTAACACTGGTTGACTTTGTATATTTAGCATACTTTTTATCTTATAATGTTATTTGTCACATATCCATACCACACCATGAGCCTTACTTAATCACACAGTGTTTACCTTATTACATTTCCCATATAGATCCACCACACCATAACATGAGCCTGGTACGTCCCTTGCAGCTACACCTTGATCCACGCCATTAAAAAACAAGTGAAGATTTGACTCCTCATCCACCATTATCCCAATCACATGACCTACTTGTAGCTCATCTAGATTAGGACCATAATTCTCTTTTACCTACAACATCCCAAACAAGATAACTTCAATATATATAAAACCAAATTATCAATCAGAATACATAATCTCTATTTTTACTTAAAATTAACCTTGTTTTGGAATAAATCTACATAACATCTAAATTTGTATCAAAATAAACTGACAAGATTTGCTCTTTAATGAATTTATATTTGCCAATGGGTCATTTTCGACTGAAATTTGAAGTTTCTTCTCTTCTTATGGCCTGTCAGACTCACAGTTCTAATTGTTAAAGCTCCCTAAATCTTGGAAAAACATATCTCTATCTACAAAACAGAACTTACCTTACAACCAGAGTTGTACACAGCGCTGCCCTGGATCATGATACAAGATTTCTTTATAGACATGGAGGACACTGGAAATGTGTACTTATCCGGAGGAAATCCCAGCACACCAATCATCAGAGAGAAGCTCCAGCGGGTGTTCAGGTGTTCAACCCGCACCTGTGTAAAGTAAAATGAGTCGCATAGTAAAATTTACTAGTCATTATTATCAACAAGGTAATACATGTATTTCAAATAAGTGAGAGGGGAGATTTCAGTATCCTATGAATTTCAATTTAGCATTTCAAAGGCTCATAATGTCTTAGAATTTCACTGTATATCAGTTTTAGTATCACAACATAGTGTATCTCATGCATGAGTGTATGACAATACCTGAAACATTTGGTTTTTGTGCAGTGGTTGACAAGTGACAATCAGTCCCTGGTTGTAACTTTCTGTTCTCTCAGCTGTCAGTCCACCATTACTTAACATGATATTTTTACCATGGTTGACATGGAAACCTAGCGCATTAGGGTATTCCTCTTCTGTATCCAAGTCTGCAGCCTCTGCTAGTTCTGACATGACGGACTGAGACTGCTGACTGGCCATCAAAGAGGCATCCCATGAACAACTGCTGGTAATCGTGATCATCTCCACTGGACCATAAAGGTCAATCACCACAAACACATTCTTAGGGATGTTGGAGGCTGCCACTCCCATATCCTCCCCATTAATGTAGAGGTGAAGTGTACCATCTGAGACTCGACGAATGCCCACTAGATTCCCAACCTGTCACATGCATGTAAATAAGCTACAGAGAGCCAATTCTACTTACATAATAAATCACCAAATCAAAATTAGATTTTAATTTTATACACTCAAACATGTCCTTTTTATACACTGCTTTATATTCTGTATACAACAGACCTACTATTCCACCACCTTCAGTATTCCAGAAGACTTTATACTTTACGTTCTACAGTAATCTGTTCATAATTTTCAATATACAAATTCCATACAGCTGCCTCCCTCACACCAGTTACTTTACCTCAAGTCTCTCTAGAGCTGGTGCATAATTCTCCTTGATGACAAATCCATTTTTCCTGACCTCTGACCCTGTAATCAGCCAAGTCAATTTGGAGGTCAGTTCAAGGGCAGATGCTGGAATGACAGAGGATGAGGTGGTGTCTGAGATGGCCAGAGTGGTCAGTCCGATGTGAAGTGACCCTGACCACACTCGACACACCTGGTCAATTCTCACCTGTAGACAAAGCAACAACATTAGAAAACTATAAAAGAATGCACTATATCGCAGTAGCATAAATATCTAGCTAAAAATGTACAATGTCATTATTAAAACAAATTTCCTCAACTTCAAATTTCATCTTCAAATTATAATTTGAGTAAAGAGCAAATTTAGTTATTACAATCTTCTGTGAATAAAAGTATCAATTGTACATGAAATAAATAATCTTCTGTTTAATAAACTTTATTGTAATGAAATTATGTTAAACTCTGTTAAACTAGTTTTCACCTCAAATATTTCATCCCTTTTTAGAGGATCAGAACTAAATACAATGGCATTGTTGTAGCCTGTAGAGCGGGCTGTTGTACAGCTATTGTTCTTTATTGTGATGTTTTTACCACAACACAAACTGAATCGATGAGACACCTCTAAAACAGTTAGAAAAGAGAATACATCATAAAACATTAACCACTAAACACAAAGTTTGAGAAATGAACTGTATACCAAGGGATAGTGATAAGCTGCTTTGATCTTGGAGATTTTAACTGGACATTACATGGATGTTGTTACCTGATGAGGAGGGAGACATTATGGCCTGATCTGAATGTAGGAGATTATTGTCTGGAGATGGATACACTCCTGATCCACTGGTGATCGAAACTTGAGCACACTGTCCATATAGGTCAATTACAGCATACACACCTAAAACAAATACATGTAATTGTGTAATGAAAGTGTTAACAAATTGCTATTCAATTCTTACATACTAAGAAACACTTAGAAGCACTAAGAAAAAACAGTCTTATCTATTAAATAAATTTACCCTGTTATATTGTGTGACCAAGTCACTTGACATCCTATAAATCACTTTTCATTTGCGAGAACTTTATTTCCACGTAATTACGCGAGACCGTCTGCTCCTGAAAATTTCTTTTTTACGTATAATTTTACTACATGTATTAAAGATTACATAAAGCAATGACCAAAATTCGTGAAAATTTTGTTTCCCTTATAAATATCACATAAAAACCTCGTGAAAATGAGGTGTCATGAAAATTTAGAGATCTACAGTACCATGTGGGACGTCTGTACAGGCGGGGCCCTGATCTGATCCATTCAGGAAGTAGTGTAACGTGCCATCAGCGCACCGCATGATCCCGATCCTACATCCCACTGTCACGGCATCCAGGTCCAGGGGATAACCATTCCTGATTGTAGATCCATCCTGCATTATGGCTGCTCCACTAAAACCAAAGAATTTCAAAGGATCTGAAAATATCTCCTTATAATGGACTTTATTTTGCAAGATTGAAAGTCTTGATAAAAGGCAATATCAATTAATCCTCTCTTTTACAAATATCAACTGGAATTATTAAGGTATATTATTGGTATAAAATCACATTGACAAATGCAGTAAATAGACAGTAATTCATTATTAATAAGAACACAAACACAGCAGACATGTACAGGTGACCTAAGTACCTGAGCATCCATGTGTCATACACTATGTCTGTCATTGTGTTTGGAAACTCCAGTTCCTCTGGTTTTATCAGTGTCACACCTGCCTCCAATGACCCTGACCATCGGTCCACCATCTTCTCTATAATAACTTCAAACAACTCATTATCCTTCAGCGGACGACTGCTCATGATGATGGCATCGTTAAACTCCCCCGTGGCATTGGGTCGCAGACAGGTACGACCGTTGTTTGTTATGGTTGAATTCTGTCCATGAATATGGTGAAATCTGAGCTCCTCTGAGTCACTGGCACTACAGGAATCGGCATCAGGGGACAGGGGATCTGTGATAGGAGGACAGAAGTAGGGATGTCAAAATATTTCTTTTCTTTAGTCGAATATTCGATTGCATTATTCGAACAACAGTCGAATATATTCGAAACTTTTTCGGAAACTAAAATTTTATTTCAAACTTCACTGGTACATCACATATTTAATCCCAAATCCCCTTGTTTTTTAAATTGATTAAAAATTTACATAAAATGTTACACACAGATGTTCACATGGACTTAAAATGTGGATAGCGTGTTTATATTTACTTAATATAGACCGTTAATTTCTCCAAAATGTAGGATTTCACCGTCAATCATGTTCATAAATTGGTCTGTAAAGTCGGTTTTTTAGGAAGCATAAAAATGACTGTGTGATATATTTTTTTAAAGCTTATTAAAATGATGGGGGGGGGGGGGGGGGGGGAGGGGGCACATAAGGTGATCTTGATAATGTTAAATATTTGAATATATTTTTTGTACCAATTATCAAAATGTCCTTAAAATATGTAAAAGAATATTACTTTTATAATAATGATCGTAGTGTCCAAACATGTCACGGCTATAATGGGTACATGGTATGAGATCAAGTCCAATTAATAGTTTTACAAAGAAAGCGCAGTATGGCGAGATAATTTTATTACGAAAACAACACATTAATTGACAATAATTCACGCGGAAGTGAAGCGTTTCTAATCACTGTACTTTCTACATGTAAAGTCAGCAGTTTTTAATGAGGAAAATTATCTTATCGACTGTGTCTGAGGGAAGACCGTTTCTCAATTTTAGGATGAGAATTCCAACTCTTTATCACTCTTTTATTGAATTTATTTATTCAAATGTCGTTTCGTTATTCGATTGTCGGTCCATTCGACTGATGGTCGAATAGTCGACTATTTGTTGACATCCCTAGACAGAAGACATCAAACACTAATCAAATTACTGACCATATCATTGTTATCCAATCCCATAAATCAGAGATGTTCATTTTTGATGTAATCTCTGCATGAGAATTACCAAACCTTACTTTCAGTCTGATATATATATCTACATGTATGTACAAATATGTTTATTTATGTTGGATGAGATATACAGTATTATACAATAAGACATGTATATGTATCTTTCAGATTGATGATACTGTATGTGTACTTAAAAAAAGCAGGTTTCATATTTTAGCGGCTTTGGCGCAGACAACGATGCGCTAATTCAGGAATACCGCTAAGAAATCATCTATAAATACAATATACGGCACGGACATATGTAGCGCTAAATCATGATTTCGCCAACAGCCCCATACCCAGTGGTTGCGCTAAATTTTGAATGCGCCAATTTATGTACACATACAGTATATGAATCTACATGTACATGCATTTTGTCATTGTTTGGTGGTACTTTGACTATGATGTCCCTCAAAAAGCATGCTGCAAATTAATAATATTACATCTACTAGAGTCACCTGAGTGATCAACTATAGTAGTCTGTGCAGCCTGTCCATAGAGGTCAATTACCCCGTACACATTTGGAGGGACACCTGTGGCCCCCTGGCCTTGATCAATTCCATTCACATAGAAGTGAAGACTACCATCACCCCTCCTCTTGACCCCAACTCTATCCCCAGCCTGTTAAAGAGGATAAATTCAGAACAGAAAATAAATATGTTAAAACATGCACTATATATTCACAAATAAAATGAATTCTTTCAAGTAATTTAACTTCATATCTTAATCAAAGTGAACAAGTGCTAACTTACTACTGAACATCTTCTTGAGCATACAATATACTCTGCTTGCCCAGTAAAGTTTATTTTTCTCATTTTTATTACCGATAATTTTTTTTTCCTTCAGTAAAATATAGAGCTTCATTAACAGATATTCAATAATAAATTAAATGAAGTCCATTTCATCGTGACTGACCTTTAGCCTGTCCAGATTCTGGCCATACATATCAATGACCGTCGTCCCATTGTGCATTACTCCTGTTCCTGTCATCATCCAGGTTCCTGACCTTATGTTGGTCATGGTGGATGGAAAGTCAAGGTCATTCGGTGAGTGAAGCGTAACACCAATCTCAATGGATCCTGCCCACTTGTCCACCATTTTATCAATGTGAACCTCAAATAATTCTTCCTGTCTGAGTGTACGACTGGTCAAAACAACACCATTGTTAAAGTCATCTAGGGCACTGTAAATGTAATAAACCACAAAATGTTATGTCATACTGTATGTTCATGGAGAATCATATAGAATTAAGTGACAGAAGAAAGTTTCAACAAACTTTGGTCTGTGTGCTGTTCTTTGGTTATTAATGACTGCTGCATGTGACCCACATCTTGTATGAAACAACAGCCTCTCGACAGGTTCTGCTTCTGAAAAGTTGTTCACACACTCCCACTAAGAACTCCTTCATCTTACTTATAAATCAACAAATTCTTCAACACTTTCAAGTATGCAATCATTACCTTCAGATGAGATCTCGTCATACATGTCTGGGAATTGTCTGAACACATTCCGCACCCTCTGGACAGGGGAGGTAATGTTGTTAGGGTAGTTAGGATCATTACGATCAAGGATACTGACTTTGACAGCCATGCCATAGAGGTCAACCACACCCCAAATTGTAGGTGGAGTCTCATTAGATGCCACACCCTGATCCTCTCCATTGATATAGTAATGTAGATGTCCATTAGATTTCCTGATGAGTCCAATTCTGTCTCCCTCCTGTCAATACAATGTCCCACAAACATTCAGAAAAAGGTGGATTTAGACTTTAATTATAAACAAATTTTGGCACATCTAGGAAGCAGGAACAAGATTATCTTTAAAACAGCCCCCTAAAACCTTAGGCAAATCATTAAACACAGGTTACACAGAAATAACCTGAGGAACAACCCCAGTTTATCCCATGTGAACTCCAAATATAAATCCAACCCTAACTCTAACACTATTGTGTCAGTGTTGTCTGGGGACTCACTGTTAACTCATCCAGATTATAGATGCCATATTCCCGGCGGGTTCCCTTGCCATTGGTCAAAATCCCACAGCCACTCATCATAATGGTACCTACAACATTCAGGTCTGCAGACAATGTAATCAAAAGTTTATGTAAAGTCTACAAGTAATGATTTATCCAGTTTGTGTAATCGTCATAAAGAACAAGGTTCACTTAGGGCCTTTTTTGGCCCTGTGAATTTCTGAAAAACTGAAACTGCTTCGTTTTAGTTGACATTGCATTAAATTTCATTTAGACATTTGGCGATTGCGAATCCACCAAAAATGACGTAATTTTCTGGCTAGTCAATGCATTATGACGTCATGAAATGCGTCATTTTCCTCATATCCTGAACAATTCTACAAAAACAGTCAATTTTTAAAGCTGTTTTTCGATATTTAATATAGAGCGCAATCTCTGATCTAAAATATGCATTTATTTACTGATAGAACCGTTTCTGAGGATTACAAAACATGTTTTATTTTTTAGATCAGAGGGTGCGCTCATATTATTTTTCTTCTCTGAAAGTACTTAAATATACCTGTTTTCCTTATAATTCAAGAACATTGCAATTCCATAAAGCTTATTTTCCAAGACCTGGACTTTAAGGAGAAAAATTTTAATAGGAAATGAAAGCACCAAGTCTCTACTTTATCTTGATGTTTAAAATGAAACATAAGGTGTTAGTCAATAAATTGGTATATCTACAGGGCCATTTTATGCATAAAGTGAACTTAGCTCTTTGTTTCACTTGTAAATCAATACTTGTTCTACACACACTTAATCTTAAGAAGTCACTCTCAGCATACAGTTCTGGTATTTTATTAGGGCAGGGTATTTCAAATGACATTTAGGTGTGACTGACAAACAAGACAATGTACTTGTACAAACTAATGATTGCAGAAAATGATGCACTTACTGAACTCTTTGAAACAGTCTTCGCCAAATCTTTTTCTCAGTACATGCCCTTTGGGCAGGTTTAACCACTTATTACGCTAGCCCGAACAAATATTTACATGCCCAGAATTTTATCAAGTAATATTTTTCTTATTTGCCTTTTCATGCCAAGGAAATGATCTGAAATCCATTTCTATCAATCTATTGTCTCGCCATTAGTATTGTTTTCAACCTGTGCATTTTGTGTCTCCTTTGCAAAAGAGTTCCTTTGAAATTGCAGTAGAATAAACTATCGTTAAAATTTTATTTGGAACTCCACTTTAGATGAAAAATCAGACTTTTAAGTACATTTAATGTTATTAGTATTATCTAATTTGATAATATAGATGCTTAGGCCTCAGAATTTACATGCCCTTCGGGCTTGTAAGTATGCAATATCCACATGCCCGCTTCCAATTTTACCAGGTCCCGGGCTTCGGACTCCCAGGATTTGTCGAAGACTGTTGAAATTCAAAAGTATTCATCACCTGCTCAGTTTCAAAACAAACAATCTAATTGAAATTAGTCCTTTCATATCCCTCCTCATTAATTTATGACCCTCGTAAAAGGATCTACTTCATGAGTAACATAAATGTATAAATAAATTAGTAGGGAGATGAAAGGGATAATTTTAATTGATTGCAAAATTAACATCATATACAGTTGAACTTCAGTATCTCATACACAGATATCTTGAAGTGATTGGGAAGTCCTAACCACATATTTCTTAAGGATTATACCCTTGATATCTCGAACCCTAGGATATCTCAAAGTTTTTTCTTGGTCCCATCGAGTTCGAGATAACGAGGTTTGACTATATTTCAATATTAGACAGATTTGTGTGATGCAAGTGTTGACATGTCACTGCATTCTAAAAATCTAAACCATGAAAGAAAAAATGTAATGAAATCAATTTCAACAATTTTCTATGAAATGTCATTTGTTTTTAATTAACATTTGACATCATCAATCTTTATCAAGAGGTATAAAGACTTACCTGATCTCATGTTCGTCATAGTTGCTGGGAAATCCAGCATGGATGGATTATGTGTTGTTATTCCAACTTCTATAGACCCCGACCACTTATCAACCAAAACATCCAATCGAATCTGTGGACAAGAAAAAAAAGCTTCAACGGAGTATTTATATGGTTCACAAACTACATCAAATGCATTCATCCCTAAATATTTACATTTCCAAATATTATTCCTTAAGATTCTTTGCAAATTAGAAGACTGTTCATTTTCTTATACCATGGATGAGCAAGAATATCTCCATTGTGACGTCATAATACCATACTTGACGTCAAAACTACTGTAGATTCCTAATTCTACACGAGAAATTAATTATTGCATAATTTTGTGAGAAACATCACTCGCGAAATAAAATTACTCACTTTTATTTTTATGGTGCTAAAATCCATGTAAAATCTCTTGATCAACCATCTATTCATGAATTATTATTCTCCCGATTTGATGTTAAAGAACCATTTTGCAATAATAAGTACTAACGAAAAATAAGGAATCTACAGTATAGTGCAAGCTGTTTTGTTAAAAATTATTGTTGAATGACATAAATTTGTGGTTAGTCATCAGACATATAATGTAAATATAAGATATGAATTTAATTTTTGAGAATTCATGAGGAACTACGACACTTCATGCCTGCATATTTATCATGAAGCGTTAACATGCTTCATGAAATATGCCAGTGTAAAGTGTCGTCGTATTTCCTCATGAATTCTCAAAAATTAAGTTCAATCCTTAAATATGTCAGTCCATACAACAAATGCTCAATTTTGATTTTCTTGAAAAATTGAATGTTTATGATGAGGCTATAAATAAAGCACTTTAATGATGCAATAGATTTTAGCACATGTTACTTGGCAATTAATACTTTCATAAAATGCTCAATTTTTGAAGCACATAAAAAAAGTTCAGTTTAATCAACAAAATTTCTTTCCTTCTCTTCAATTACTTCTAGAAAAATTTCAATAGATGTAAATGTTATATATCATTTATCAGATTTGTCTATTAAGGGTTTAGATTTTTGTTGAATCCCCCCCCCCCCCCCCCAATTCCTCAGTATATATAATGTGATTATTATCATTAATACATGTATTTCTCTACCTTTTGACAAATGACAATGAAAAGAAGCCAAATTCACATGAAGTTTCAGGGATAGACATCAACTTACAGATTCACTTGCCCTTTGGGCAAGTGAACTCAAACTTTGACTTGTCCGAATACAAAACTTGGTTGCCCAAAATTTAGAAAGAAGGGAAACCGATAACTTAATTTATTATTGTAAATAAAGTGAGATATTTTTTTTTTATATTTGGCAAGTTAAGTGCCAGAAAAATATCTTGATGTGCAGGTGATGCTACATTTTAAATACTTGTAAACTCACACTCCCATGCAGCAATATCTCCTTTTAAATAAAATTCATATTTTTGAAAATTATTTTCTTAATGATCTTTTTGTGAATTTAGATTTTTTCCCCCTGAAAAACTGAAGCCACACTAAAGAAAAACATTGGCCATGTTTTGAAACATAAATATCCTAATCAGAATACATCGTGTGCCGAGAATAACTGGTTTTCTTTATGTTCTGTGAGTAAATAAATGAGCTATTTTTAAATATCATATTTCATAATAAGAATGTTAAGAAGTCAGTTTTGTCAACTACCCAGAAAGAAAAATGGAATAACGAACCCGATTTTTGAATAAACGGCGCTACCGAGGAATTTCCAACTACAAAAAGAATGTCATATATTCCTGATAAAAATCAAATGTTCAAATTATTGTTTTGTTTATAAACTAATGTAAGATTTAAAAAATCTATCAAATATTCACTTGCCCGATCGGACAAGTACTTCAGCAGTTTCATTTGCCCGTACTGAGAATTTACTTGCCCCGGGCAATCGGACAACCGTTAATGTCGATCCCTGAGTTTTATCATCTATTTTTAAATTCCTTGCTGACCTCAAATAACTCGTCATTTTTCAGAGGTCGATTGGTCATAACTACTCCATTGTTAAACTCATCCAGTGGGTGTCGCCTCTCTGCAGTACGTCGGCTGTTGCTTAGTTTGACAAGACTCCCACAACGCTCATGGAATGTCAGTTTCTCATTATTTGAGTTTGAAGCTACATTATCTAGTCCTAGGGCCTCTACATTTCTGGTCAGGTCATTGACAATTTGATTGGAGAGCTGAGTTAGGAATTCATTGGCTAGCTGGCTGGCAACATCAGTAGAAATTCCATCTACAAAGTGAATACAATTCATATGAATGGATGCTCTCATTACTAGCAATGCATGTTAAGACATTGGGGGGGGGGGGGGGGGGAGGGGGGGTCCATTATATTGAGATTATATTGAGAATTGAATTTCATTCAATCAATAATAACAGAAGAAATAGATTTAAAAACTCGCAATTGAAATGTAAAAAAGGGAAAATACTGCAGTAGGACAGGGTCTTCACTTTGAGAATAGCATGTAATTAGAAGTTTATTTAATTTGAAAAAATCAGGAAAAAGGAGTAGCAAAAGTTACAGCAATTTACACCCACCATTTTCCTGATTGGTTCCAGGAGTGTTGTCCACTATTGTAACCTGAGCACATTTCCCATACATATCAATAATGGCGTATACTTTAGAAGCAATACCATTTGCAGCTGGACCCTGATCTACACCATTCACAAGAAAATGGAGTGTGCCATCAGTTGTCCGCATAACACCAACCTTCTCACCTGATGAAAAAAAAAATACAAATATTCTCAAAACATATTAACATAAAGAAATTACAAGTTATCCATGTGGAAAACTTTAAATCCATCAAAAAATATGATTAAACATGAGGAGGAATACTCATTCATTGTTCCCATTGGGATCATGATTGGCAAATAAAAAACTCTGTAATCTGTATACCACAATGCATATTACCTACTGGGGATATGTCACATTAGGTATGTTGCCAATAGGACAAACATTATAGTCATCAACAAAATGCTGATTTCAATGTCATTTTATATCCTTTTACCTTTTATATCCCTTACAACCCAAACTCTGTCACCAAAGTAGAAAACATGTCAGGTTATTCTTTAAATTATTTTTTGATTTGTTTCTTGTTTGCTACACTTGGTTATGAACTTAAACATTGTTTTCAGTATTACATGTATTTTAAAAAATGCAGTTATTGGGCTAATACAAAACCACTATAATATGAAAGTCTATCCCATCTGTGTACATTACGTCCAACGAACTCTAACTCCGTCATCAGGGCCCTCTACAATATGTCAACGTATTAAATAGAAATTTGTTCCCAGTTTTTTGTCCCTTTTTCTTAAACTTGTAAACATAAAAAATAGTTTAAAAGATATAAAATAGTATTACATTTTATTTTAGGAAAAGTATCAACAACAGAAAAAGTAATCTTAATTATAACATATTTTATATGTAATAATGTTACGCTAAGATTATCTCCAACTTGTAGTGCACTAGGGCAAATTGAGATGAAAAATATAATATTTGTAGCCATATTCATGAATATATTAATCCTTTGGCAAAGATCTTCAAAGCTACAGCTGACATGTAAAAATGAGCATATTGACGCTTATGACGAAGGTATCGATGGAATCACGCATAAAGAAAAAAGTGCTTACTGATGTGATAGATACAATAGATTACGTATAATTGTTATTTATTTTTTACACATTCTTGAACTTAACTGTCATAATTTCTCAGCATTTTATTGTAGATTTCAGCATGAAAAAAATTATGTCACAATCACATTCGTTTACAAACAGCGTGCAGTTTCCTGAAAATGATGGAGTTAGGGTAGTGACAAAGTTAGGGGGTTTGGCGATACACTCATATGTACATATTATATCTTTTTGATACAGGTGTCAAATCCTGTCTATCTAAGAATGTTTCATATCAAGCACCTTCATTTAGCTGATCTAGATCTGCTCCATATTCCTCGATGACAGAATGCCCATCTCTCAAAATAGAGCTCCCTGACATCACCCATGTTCCCTCACGAAAACCAGTAGCACTGATTGGAAACTTCAGTGTGCTTGGGTCACATGTTGTCACACCTATCTCAATTGAACCACTCCAGGAGTTTACCTAATAAGATATTCAAATTTTAATTCTTAGATGACCAAAATAAACATTATATGAATGCTTTTATCTATATCTTTGATTTCATGCATGTTAAAAAGTGCTTGGAGGAAATTCGAACTATCTAATTAACATTCAATATGTAATCCGTAGAAGATTAACATCAATTAGTTATTGTTTTGCTTTCCTCTTTATAATACTTTATACAATATCTTCTTAACATGCTTAATGCAAAAAAGAAATCCGATAGAAAAATCTAAATGAATGGGATACATGTTTACAATAATTCTAAAGTGAAAATACCTTTCTGTCAATTCTGACTTCAAAAGGGACATTGTCCTGCAGCGGTTCCGCGCTCATTACTACCCCATTATTAAATTCCTGAGTAGGGTGGTTCCTCTGAGCCGTGCAATTGTTGTTACTGAGTGCGACAAGCGTTCCAACACGGTTGTGGAACTTCAGAGCCATCGCCATCAGCCATCCATTGGCGATGTTTTCCTTCGCAGTCTGGGTATTTTCGAAAGGTTTATTTTCGGATAAAAACGGACATAAACTTGTATTAACAAATTTCAGAAGTGCTTTAACATTTTCAGATTGAAATTGAATGAAGAACTTTTTTTGTCTGTATATTTCTGTTTTGGCCACCTTTTTTAATTTTAATGGAAATACGCCTAAACATTAGAGAAGACAGTATCCGATTGTCATATTTTCTGCTATATGAAGCCGCTACAAGACTAGTCACATGACATATTTATAATTAGAGCACTGCAAACATGGCGACTGCAATGTATCTGGAGCACTATCTGGACAGTAAGAATGGCATAAAAAAGAACTATTCAAAACATTATCAGTTTAAAGTAGTAATGAACTAAACATCTTTCATTCTACATATGTGAATGCAAATGAGTGTCATATTCTCGTTTAAAAGTTGTTCAAAGAGATATTCAAGAAATTGCGCCAGAAATGACTTGTGCCTTATTATCGAACATTTTAATCATTAAGTGACATTACGTGTATGAAAATGTGAAAGGTTTTAGGAATATTAAGTAATTATTCGGTTAATTAGAGAAGAAACTTTACTCTAAATTCATTTTGTTCTAGATTCTTGAAAGTACATGAACTGTCAAATTTCAAAACTTTTTAAAAGGGAATATCTCAAAATACATTTTATAGTTGGTTATCTGCCTTTTTTAGGTCTAGAGACACTGCCAACAGAGCTGCAAAGAAACTTTAACCTGATGAGAGATTTAGATCAACGCACACAAGGTATAATTTAAAAACAGATTTATGGTACTGGACCTAAGAGGATCATATGGTTAGAGTGCCTCTTGTGTTTAGGGACTTGACCTCACCAGTAACCATATTAATTTGAATTTGTTCCACACAGAGCAGTGCAGCAGACAAGAGAAGAACAGCTCCATATTAATATTTGGGACATATATAACAACATTGCACTTAGAGTCTATAAAATCAGAGACATAAATAGCATTGATTCGCAACTTCACCTTTAACATGTTTGTTTACTGAAATATGTAACGGTCCTGTTATTATCCTAAGAATAGACAAATTTCACATTCTTATGAGTTATCTCCCGTTGTCGGCGTAACACTCATTTTTCTCACTGTATCCTTTGTAACTTACCTGTAAATATTTTCAACCTTCAAACACTATGTGACAATTTTGATTCGTTCCTGTATTGCCATAGTATGGGGCAACATAAAAAATATAATGAACATATTTAAGCAGATTTCATTTGTAAAATGTTGCCCCGTAAAGTTGGTAATGTCATAAAGGAAAAACAGTGTCTTACGCAGGTTGACCCCAGATTGACCCCGCAAAGGGAAATAACTTTTGTAAATGTGAAAGTCGTCTATAAAAGTCGTCTATAACTCTTTATTGGGCTTGTATTTAAATGTAAAGTAAAATTTATATTAATTCTTTTATATATGGGTGTAGGGTTGGATACCGTTAAGAATGAAACGGTACGATACCATACAGGTATTTTTGAAACGATACGGTATTTTTAACGATACGGTACTATGCATTGATGAATAAGAATGAGGGTTCATTTTATAACAAATGTGCTTTTACCATTCACTAACCTTTCAATGATATAATCTAAAATGAGCTTATAAACTTTGTTCCATGCTTTTAGGATATAAAAATTTATTTTTCATAATATTCAAATTATAAACATTTCATTTCAACTTTTCAATAAATAAATGATCAACAAAACAAATCAATTGAATCCCAAACAAATTAATTTGCACATATCGGCTGACTGCTTCACCAGGTTGTCAGGACCCCTGTTGTTTGGTCGCACTAAATGACGAAACATTAGATAATGGATAGATCACATTTTTTGTGACATTTTGCCTTTTTAATTTACATTTATTATCAGTTTTTATCTGTAAAATTAAAATGAGATTCATGTGAATGTATTTTGATTTTTTAAAAAAAAAAATACGTATTGATTTAGCTCGAATATCGGCAGTCGAAATTAAGTATCTTTCTAAGAATCCATTTCGTTACATGTAATTAGCCTACCCTTTCAAAAAGCGGAGAATTCGATTTTAGCAAGTTTGGAATGTTTATTTTTTAAATCAAATTGAATGAACTAAAATGTTTTAAAGATTAAGAAGTATCGTTATTAGTACCGGTATTAAATGAAACGGTATTTTACAGGTTTTTTTTTAAGTAACTATTCGGTACGGTATTGGTACCGAGTACCAGTATCCAACCGAGGCCAATGGGTGTATGATTTGTAAAGTTTTATTAATTTTTACAAGCAAACTAGGCAAATTAAAGAGGTCAATGATCACTGATGATCAAAAGTCGGCAATATTGCGGCGATATGGCCGACCAAGAGTCACCTGTTGCAATTTCAGATTTCTCTTTAGTTATTGTTTTAGAGAAAGAAACTTACGAAAATATAATATCCTGAATCATTTGTTAATATAAATTATACCTGATTATTTTGAAGTTTTATGGGGTTTAAGTTGCACAAGATTTGAAAAAAAGTAAACAATGTGGAACGTGAGATCACACAAGACTTCGTAGAGTTGCGAACTGTTTTTTATGTCTCTGATAAAATGTTCCATTGATGTTGTTCTATGGACCTAGTTTATTGGGATGAGACAATATATCGAAATATGGCTAATATTGATTCTTTGTGAGGACAATATGCATATCAATACATTTATAGAAATATCAATATGTAAAACAAAATTTCAGACTTCATTATTTTTTTTCCCTCTACATAATGTTTGGATTAAAAATATAAATTGATTCAAATGAATATTTTAAATAAAGAAATGATTATGAAGTACTTCATTATTAATATCACTTTCAATTTGTTAAATAATTTAAATAATAATAATTAAATAAACAACAGATATACAGCTACTATGAATAAATTTTTCTCATTTGTGAAGAGATATGTTGTTTCAATACAAAGAGAAAAAAAATTATTACCAATTAAAGATATTGCGATATGTATCATATCATGGTACAAATATTATGATATATATCATATAAGGAAGAAAGTGTATTGTTGTAGCCCTGCCAATTTAACGATATAATTTGATCAGTGTTGGCTATATATTGGTAGATAATTCTACTCTACACTTATTCCATAAACAATTTATAGAGCTCTGAATGTCAACATGTCAGAAAAAATTGAAGTGAGAGAAAACTAAGAAAATGATTGTTTTCTTTACATGTATATATAGGTTGAGATAAATTTAATGAATTTAATTAATGAAATATTCAAATTTTGCCTTTGTAAGTTACATAGCTTTTTCTATATAAAATAATACTCAATAAACAAATGCTTATTGAATCATAATAGGTATGTAGTGAATGTTGTTCCACTTTATTACCAGATTTTTTTACTTTTCAAAGAGGGTTATCATGGTTATGACCCTCTTTGTACATGTTGGAGAGTGGCAACTATGAACATAAGGTTTTTTCTCGGCATATATGTTGAGAAAAAAATGTTAGTCATTTTTCCTAATCAAAGATTTTGTTGTGTTTTGATTATTTTTGTTTCTCGAGGTTGCTCCGAATTTTAGAACATAGAACAGATTTAGGTCGAAGCTAATAGACTTCTAGGCAAATAGTCCAGTTATGAAAAAGTAAATCTGAACTTTGAGTAAGTTTTCTATATCACATTTTTTTTTTATCTTTTAGACCTACTAAAGGACATCGATCATCTCTCTGAGGACTATTTAAAAAATGTAAGAGGAATGTCTCCAGAGAAACGAACACAGAAACTATCAACAATAGAAAACAAATTCTCTAAAAGCAGAGAGTATGGGGACGATAAAGTACAGTTAGCAATGCAGACATATGAAATGGTAAAGCTTCTTACATTGTTTCAGATTGTAGGTCTAAATTATTTTCTTATACTTTCCATCAGCTTTATAGGCTAAATATATTCACTAACATGTTAATTTTTCATCTTATAGATCATACATTGTCACATCTAAATGTAATAAGAATTAAAATTATTACAGTAGAGTAATGAAAATGTTTAGTACTGTATATGACTTTATGCCTTTTATTTACCAAGTCTTTATGATAAACTGAACAGTTCACCTTTTTTGCAGGTTGACAAACATATACGAAAGTTAGATGCTGACTTAGCAAGGTTTGAGGCAGATCTGAAAGATAAGACGTCAGCTTCCAAGCTCAAATCTGATTCTGACTCATGCAAAAAGAGTATGTGCATAATTAAGGATAAATAACACAATTTTTTTCTTCAAAAATTAAAATATCTTTCCTGAAATAAGTTCACTTAAGTAGTGATTTCTGTTTAGTTAAACTCGTTTTCTACGAAAACATCTACAATTTTGGTGTACAATTAAAAAGACATACCACAAACAAATTTTCTTATTGCTCACATAGAAGAGTTACACTGCTATTTTTCAAACATTTTTTTTTTCCAATGGAAATTAATCTATTTAGAAAATTTTTACTGTGTGAAATGTAAAAATAGACTCTAGACACTTTAGAGTAAAGTTACATTTTTCCACTTTTCACCAAAGTATGTGGCTTGGTCAAACACAGTTATTTGACCTCACCACAGATGTACATCAGTGTTATGAGTAGAGATGATGATAAGTCTTTGTTATCATGGTATAAGGAGCAAACACAGCATTGAAAATGTTCTATCTTTTTCAAACCCCTGCAATTGGGCTCCAAAGGAGAAATTAGCTAAATCCACTAAGATAAACCCTTGTACATTATTTGTTCATATATAATCAATATGAGTTATACTTAAAAATCTGAGAAAAATTGTTCTTGTGCAGACAAAGATAAAGACAAAAAGAAAAGGAAAAAAGAGGAATTTGATGATGAAATTCCCAAGAAGAAAAAGAAGAAAGGCCAACAGAGGTAGTGTAGAGAAAAAGAAGGAATAAATTCTCATATTACAATTGACAGCTGGATTTCAAGTCACAATCTGGTCTTTGGATTGATTTGTCTGTCTGGCAGATGCTTTTGTTTTGCTGTTGAGCTACTCTGTTTTTTGTAAGCTGTTCATTTTCTAAATCTTTTAATGTCACACAGTCTGTGCGAGAAAATTTTAAGTCAATTAAGACATTTGGTCCTGTGTACTCGAGAAACACACAGAACCGAAATAAATTTTGTCAGACTGAAAAACCTAATGTAAGAAAATGAAACACACCAAGGTTTTTTTAACATTTAAGTTGTTCTTTATCAGTGTTTACTGATCTGAGATGCGAGTCCCACCCCTACGATTGACAGTCAATATTAGGAAACGGCATCAAAATATATACAAATTTAGAAAATTAGGCCTTCAAAAATTGTTTCACCTTATATTGGTATAATAAAACAATGGATTACCCCCTTATGAGATCAACATGGTGAAATAAGGATCATCAACCCAGCCCATGAGTACTCAAGTTAAAGTTTTAGAAGCTGCTTTATTCCCAAGGAGCTATAAGCTCTACCTAGACCAAACTTGCATGCATGATGCATATATATATGTTCACTACCAGACTTTCTCCGGATGTTGGGACTGACATTTTACTGATGATTGAATAGGTTAAAGTTTTTAGAGCAGGTCTATTCCTAAGTAACTATAAGCCCTAACTTGACTAAACTTTCTTGGATGATGCATCTAGGGATCCACTCTACCAGACTTTCTTCGGATGCTGGATCTGACTTACATTTTCCAGATGAGTGACACGGTAAAAGTTTTTAAAGTAGCTCTCCCCAATTAACTCTTATGAATAAACTTGCATGGATGATGCATGTAGGGATGGACACTACCAGACTTGCTTTCTTGATCTACATCTCTGGATGAGTTTTTTTAAAGCAGGTAGTCAGGTACAAGTCCTACAGAAACCAAACTTGCATAGACATTTATCCTGGGATGCACTCTAATAGAAAAATTTTGTGTGAGATTTGCTTTACTTATCGACAACATTTGTTGAGGTGAGCTTTGAAATCTTTGTCTTCAGATTTTATGTAGAGAGACATAAATTACATGTACAACGCAGCATTTTTGATTCAAATACTTGTTTCTTATGAAAATTGACTGCCATTTATTAAATCCATTACGGTAACTCTAAACTAGGTTAAACCAGTTAATCTGTATGTCACAGAAATATTACTTAAGAAGTTGGCTCTTTCATCAATGTAACCTATGGACCAATGATACAATAGTTTACATACTTTATTGATTTCACCCACTTTACATGAACTGCTTATGTGGATTATGTATTTTTTCTGCAATTTTGCAACCCTTAATCCCCGTATCCAAACAAAGAGATTTTATTGTTTAAGTATTTACATTGCCAATAACATTACATTCAGGATATTTCAACTGCATGGTAGTGAATACATACATGTAAACATGTATACAGGGTTGTCCCTAAGACCCGGGGACCAAGGAATTTCCCCGCCTTTAATGATGTAATCCCCCGGTTATTTTGGTATTCCTCCTATACCCCCCATTAGGGGAGGAACCCCAGATCCCCCTCTACTTTTTAAATGTCCCCTTCTATTTCAGTTCTTAGGGACAACCCTGTTTATATATTTTTACTTTTTATAATTTTGATTTTTTAAAAGCATTTTATATAATTTATGAGTAACCAGTAATATCTATTTTATTTTGACCTTTTTAGTCCTCCAGAAGAGGTAGTGTCATCCATACCGATCTTGTCAACGTTATCCATCACCCACCCCTCGGATGTCCTTGACATGCCTGTCGACCCCAATGAGCCGACCTACTGTCTCTGTCACCAGGTGTCGTATGGCGAGATGATTGGCTGTGATAATCCAGATGTAAGTTCCTTTACTTTCTTAATGTCCGGAACTTCATCCTAGTGTAGTAACTTCCGTATTCATACATATGTACTTTACATATACTGAAGATTACCTTTTTTTTTTTCAAAACCTTATTTTTGCGAGATAAAAGTAGGTATTTTGCATTTTTAAGCGAGACAAAATTTTCACAAATTTTGCTTATTGTTATATATTATCTTTAATAATAGTGTGTCTCAGGTAATTGCACAAAAATAAAGCTCTCATGAATAAAAGTTATTACGCCCCCACCATAAAATGGCCGGGAGCATATAGTGTTACCCTGTTCCATCATTCACTTTCCGTTCATTATCTCTGCAACAGTTGCACACATTCAACTCAAATTTGACATATGGATATGTCATAGGAATACACAGGTCAAGTTCAAATTTGGTCATGCTCCGATTATTTTTGACAGAGTTATTCCCCTTGAACTTAGAAAAAAATAAGAAATTTTCAGTTTTCGCTTGTTAACTTTTGTAGGGATGTGTGTATATAAAGTTGAAATTGCATGTGCAGATATTTTACCAGAAAATACAGGTCAAGTTCAAATACAAATTTAAAACTAAATATGGCATTTGAAATTTTGGCTGTCTGCGGGGGCATTCATGGCGTTACGACACATCTAGTTTATAGAATTATGAAGTCAGTTTTAGTTTTGTTCTAGTACTTCGGAGGGAACTTTTAGCCTCTCTAGGCTAAAGAGTCAGATACATCTCATCCTCTTATGTACAAATTGTAATGGATATTTTAGAGATACAGAACTGAACTCCATTTGTTATCTCACCATTTCCATACTAAATTTTGTCTGGGCAACTTGATATTAAATAAAATTTTCTTTATGATAGATTTGTGTTAATACTGGGGGGAGGGGGGATTTCTGCTGTATATTACATGTACTGGAATTTCAAGGTTTGTGCAGGTCCTGCAGTAATGACAAGTTTGAAAAACATAGTTGATATTTCTTAGGATTCACTTTTCTTTGGGCAAGCTGAATTCCATTTTGACAACCTTTTGGGTTTTACTTGGTTATTCAACTGGCAAATCCAAAATCTGAGGAGTGTTGAGCCCTTAACTTCCAAAAGATGCTGTTGATATGCATTATGTTAATTTTTTTTTACATAATATACAGTGTCCCATTGAGTGGTTCCACTTCGCTTGTGTGGGGCTGACCATGAAACCCAAGGGAAAATGGTTTTGTCCACGATGTACAGAGGAAAGAAAGAAAAAATGAGCCAATATGACAAGATTAAGTCCATACAGAGCTGAATAACTAAGAAGCATGTCTCATGTCAACACAGAGCCAGGCTTTACTTTTACAGAAAACAGTCTGAAAGATGTGCATGTGTAACCAAATATAATTTAATAAGTTATTTTATTTATTTTGTGTCAGCACTTGATCAAAGATCAACATTTTATAAAGATTGGATATTAGTAGGAATTGTTTTGAACAAACCTGTTCTCAAGATCTGATAAATCTGCTTTTAAACATTTTTTTTAATTAGAGTCTGCTTTGTCAAATAATATCCATCACTGTGAAGAAATAGAGCCTATATCAGTGCATGCTAAAGCAGTTCCAATTTTTACTCATTAACATGAATAATACACAGGGATGGTGAAATCATTTTATCATTCAAATGTGTCTTTTTTTCTTTTGTTTTTGTAAACCTTTCACATGTTTGAATCTAGGAAGTACTGGGGAATGATTTCTCTAAAGAATGTTATGAATTTATCCAAGACTCATGTTTATGTTTCGCAGTTGAAAGCTTTTTACCAATATAATATGTGCACAGAATCTATGGAGTATTTGATTCCATGGATTTTTTGTAAGCCAGTGATGATGACCACTGTGTTGATTGTTAAGCTGCATCAGTGAAGGTTGTTTAATGAATTATTCACAGTTTCAACAAGATGTTATAGTAATTTTGTTTTGGCAGAAAGCACTTATTGTTATTAATTGTTTCCATGTCTTGTGAGCCGAAACCAGTAAATGTTGAATTATTAGCTCATCAAAGTCGAAAGCTTAAGTGAGCTTTTCTGATCAAAGTTTGTCCTTCATACTTGGATGTTTGCAACTTGCCACAAAGCATCTTTGATTGAAGGGAATTCAGTTTTATTTCCGAAGAACGTAAATTAGTAAACTAAGGGTGGATCATTTACTGGTGGAGTACGCCCAGTCAAAATCTCAAGTTTGATTGGGCCAGAATACACAAAACTCGTGTGAAAATTTTCTTACATAGAGTTCAAAAATACAAAATTCAATTTGTAAATATTGGCCATGAAGGGGCCACATTAATGGTTATGATTACATTAATGGTTAAGATTTTCATGAAGAATCTTTTAACATGACCATGTTGATATGAATGTATGTGCATTTAGTATGTAATCAAATGTGTTCAAACCATAGCTCTTTGGGGTAGGATTAGGTGGCAGTAAGGGGTCTAAGTTGGGCCACAACAAGGGTTTTCATTTGCAATTAATTAAAATGGGATTCAGGTGAGCATTGTGGCACATGGATATGTTACATATATTTTTACCACCATTCATGCCAAAGACTAACATGAGTATTCTTTCATTTATTCTATTATTTGAAAAAGGAGAAAAAAAATGGAAAAGTGGTTTGATTATAAATCATAGATTCATGCTTAATTATTACACATTTGTTTCAACTCATCATACTTCATTGGAGAATTATTAATTGTTATTGTTCAGTAGACAGCATTTTTAATTCCAGTTTTTTTGTTATTGTTAATCATGTTGTACTTAGGCCACACTGTACTCTACCATGGTGACATTTATTTACCTGTTTTAAGGGCTTTCCATGCTGTTCAATGGCATTACTGAAATACCCCCATTCTAAAAATACATTTACAGTTGAGCCTTGTTAATCTGGACACTTGGGGTCACAAACAAATCATTCAGATTTAATGCAGTGCTTGAATTACTGAAACGGACCAAATTAATAATTATGTTAATTGGTAGATACAATTGTTTATTCTGTTCTCCACAAATTTCGTCTGAATGTGACACGACCAGATTAATGGCTTCCGGATTTATGAGGCTCCAGTGTACTACTGTCTATCTGTCAGAAAAGCATAGTATGTACAATTTATAAAGTACATGTATGTTTCTTCAATTTGTTCTATCTGCGTCATAAACCACTTCATCCAATTAATGCCTCATTTTTATCTTGACACAAATGTAAAAACAAAAAATTCATTGTTTTATTGTTATTTGTACAAAATAAATCATTGCTAAGATGAAAATTCTCTTTTTTATTATTTACTTTTTTTCATGCTCATCAAACTTCTTTTATGATAACTTATACATGAAGTAGGTGTTTTTATTACCTACAAACTTATACATGAAGTAGGTGTTTTTATTACCTACAAACTTATACAGGAAGTAGGTGTTTTTATTACCTACAAACTTATACAGGAAGTAGGTGTTTTTATTACCTACAATGGGCTTTGATTTACACTTTACTTTGTGCATTTCTTGCTATGGAAGACTTGAAAACAGGGTTACTTTTGCCCCATGTTATGCCCTTTCATGTTTGCAAATGATTTTGCCCCATTTTAAATACACTCGGTCAAAGTGTTGAATTTGGCCGCTTGCAAAAGGTGAAAGGGGCACAAATAAAGGGGTAGGGGCAAAAATTTATTTTAATATTGATTAAATATTTTGTAAAACTATAATATTTAAACCAGAAGTCTCTGATGACACTGTAGCTCTACTGGTTTGAACTTATAACTAAGGAAGAGAAAAATTGCACTTGGACTTGAAACTTTGCAACAGCAGTACATGTAAATAGAATAATGATCCTTGGTTTAGTCTCTATTTGTGGCAAGATTTATAGCAAACAGCATAAAACTATAGGAGGAGTAGCCTTTTAAAAGAATTTTACAGAAATTTTGATTTTAGTAACCAAAGCAACATCATTCATCCAAAAAAAAAAAAATAAGGCAGTTATGTATCTCGTGTAGTCTACTTGCATGCCAAGTTATATTATAATCAGACCAAACTGTAGGGAGAGTAATGTTTTGAAAGTATTTCATAGAAATTTCTATTTTTAGTAACCATGGCAACACTGTTCATTGAAATCAAAGATATATAGAATTATGTATCTTAAAGTTGTCTACTTTTGTGCCAAGTTATATTGAAATCGGACCAAACTGTATGAGGAGTAGCGTTTTGAAAGTATTTCACAGAAATTTCTATTTTTAGTAACCATGGCAACACCGTTCATCAAAATCAAAAACAGATATATAGAATTATGTATCTTAGTGTAGTCTACTTGTGTGCCAAGTTATAATGAAATCAGATCAAAACTGTAGGAGTAGCATTTTGTAAAACTGTTTACAGACAGATGAACCGACACTTTACTATCCCATAAGCTCTTCTGGTCTTTGACCAGTAGAGCTAAAAATATGACAAGTCTATTTAGTACATTGTACATGATGTATTTTTCTGTAAAATTAGAGAAGAAATATTCAAATTTGACAAATAATTAAAATGTACAATATGCACTGTTCATGATGAAATCATTTTATCTGATAGATGAATTAAGAATATGCGTGTAGAAAACAAAAGAAGAGTACAATTATTACCAAGAGAAAAAATTTCTGAAAAGTTAGGATAAGTGTTTTGTGTATAGTAGTTTCCATACAGTCAGTTCACAATAGGCCCTGCCTTACAACCTTCTGGACCCTTTCCTGGTCACACTCCCCCGAATTCTTCAGAAACCAATGTCCCCACTCCTTGGCCCTCATTATCTTGGCTGCATTCCCTATGACCCAGTTATTGTTTATGAGATAAGGTTTAAGTTGCTCTCTTTTTTCCTTTGAAAGTTTGTACCATTTCCCATCTGCATAATCTTGTGTGGATAGAATTTTGTACTTCAGCCCTCCATATTTGGAAAACAGGAGTTGAGATAGGTATACCTGGTCATTGTCTGACTCACTTATAAGTTGTGTATCTGGTGAGTTTTTAATCTTCTCTCCTAAATCTGTTAATTGTTCAGTCAGTGCTCTCCACATTTGTTTTGAGGCTTCATTTGGATGCATATATAGAAATCCTCCCGCAATTATTTTACTTCTCTCAGACACCGCATTAACAACAATATCAACATCAGAGTAACTCCGAAGATTTTCAAGAGGGTTCTTAATCCACAGGCAGTCTACTTCAAACAAAAAAATTGGAATATTTTGCTCCAAGATCTCCAGAAGAACCTCTGACCTGCGGACCATCATTTCTACGTACCCCACATGGCTGTACTCCTGGTTCCCTGAGTGAACCCCATCCAGCTGAACTGCAGTGACTGATGGCCATTTTTCATTGATTTTCTTTGCACTTTCTTTATCTCCTGTGATAAAAAGGACTTGGTTGTGGATTCCCATACCCTGTGTGTTACACAGCCAGCTGAAGGCGAAAGGCAGAAAGGCATCATTAACCAGAGTCACTAACAAAGCTTTCTGTCCTCCTTCTGAGATTCTCATTGCTGCAGATAATACGTGATTAGTCTTGTTTGTCATTTTGGTTAACCTGTCATTGGTTCCAGATGAAATATTTTCCTTGGATGATCCTTGTGGTTGTAAATGATCAGCTTTCTTGGAGAGATAAGTGAAGACAAACAGAGTCAAGGCAGTCAGCACACCAAGGAGGAGAAGAGATCGGGGGACAGTCTTCATCTTATGAGTCACTGGCACCCTACTGAAAATGTTAACAAGAATTTTGATTCCAAAAAAGAAATTATTGTAATTAGATATATGATAAAAGGCCTAAGGGCCTGTAATTACTTTTTTGATGTGAACTGCACAATACAGTTACTGTGACTTAGATGTACCCTAAATTGGGTCATCATACCTGGAGGTCCAATGGCATGTCAACTGACAGGATTTGATAATTGAATATCCTACACATCAGTTTTCAAATCAAGGCTAAAAAGATTTGAAAAAGAATAATGATAAAATTTAAAATGTAGGTCACTATGACCTTTTGGGTTGACACGTACATCCCTGTGCATCTGCTCTCTAGATTTGGTGACCCTACATTTCAGAAGCTATTTAAATTAGTGTTGAAAATATAGAGGGGTATCAGGGATGTATATACTAAAGGGAAAGAAAACTCTTTCAGCACAGAGTTTGGTGATTTTAAGCAATTATTCATAGTATTTAAGATATTTTGCCTTAAAAAGGTAGGCCATAATGACATATTTTTTTTATCTTACACATTTCAAAGTTAGAGTTACAAATTGATTTGAAAAGATTTTCATCCTTGGCTTCACAGATAAGTAGAATTATTAATAGTGAGTGGCGTAAAGTGCCGCTCGCAAAGTGAGCTCAATAAAAACTAGAACTGTCCTAAAGGGACAAATACCCCCCCCCCCCCCATTTTCAGAGAAGGTGCCAAGTCACTAATACTAGTATTTGATGGATCTAAGAAGTGTTCACAATTTGTTTAAACATTTAGAGTGAAAATTTACTGGTAATTGCTCATTAAATTTTTTTAATGAATGAAACTAAGGCGCAAAGCCTAATAAAACATCAGTACTTATAATAAGTAAACATTTTTTTAATTAGGCCAAATAAAAAAATATGTGTGGTTCCGGTTACCCGACCTTCCCTATTTTATACCCCCGACCCTAAACTTTTTTTTGGCAATTTTCATATTTTTTCCGGAATTTCCCCCAATTTCCATCAATGGATCCAGTTTAAGTTTTAGTTTCAGCAATGACGGCCTCCTTGCAAAACATAATGCAAGTGTTTAATAGTGTTAAATCCAAAGCAAGCTAGCATGTAGGTGTCCCCTACCAATATTGACACACCCTCAGGTCATAAGCAATCTTCGTGTAAAATGGGAACTCACCAAGTTTATCCATAAGAAAGATATGGACTGGACACGAATTATAAACTTTTTCTTTGAGTGACCTTGAACTTGCCCAAATGACTTGGGTCAAAGTCATGACATATCCTCAGGTCATGAACAATCTTTGTGTAAAATGGGAACTCATCAAGTTTATCCATAAGAAGATATGGACCAGACACGAATTATGAACTTTTTCTTTCAGTGACCTTGAACTGCTCATATGACCTTGGGTCAAGGTCATGACACACCCTCAGGTCCTAAGCAATCTTTGTGAAAAATGGGAACTAACCAAGTTTATCCATAAGAAAGATATGGACCAGACACGAATTATGAACTTTTTCTTTCAGTGACCTTGAACTTGCCCAAATGACCTTGGGTCAAGGTCATGAGACACCCTCAGGTCATGAACATTCTTTGTGTGAAGTAGGAGATTCTTCCTCCGTAAGAAAGATATGGACAGGACACGTTTGCACAGACAGACAGACAAGGTGATTCCTCCCCAAACTTCATTTGCGGGGGTATAATAAATATATAAGAACAAAGAAAATTTGAATATTTTTGTGTGAAACCTACCCAGAATTCCTTTCCTACCAGCATTGAATGTGATAATGGTGAATATAACAGACTCATAGTTATCGTGAAGATTTAATTCTTGTAGAGAGCTTAAATGAAATAAAAAAAATAATTGCATCTACCTAAAATTCCTTTTGTTCAAATATTGCACTATTAGCCTATTTACACTTAGTTACGGAAATGCAATTTATATACATATGACATCGTATGACGTCAAAGTCTAGAGACGGATCAAATTTACAAAGGATTTTATGGTGCAACTGCACTCATCCAAACGGTCCCATAATAGAATTTAATATATTGTTATAATTGGTAAAGAATAGTCTTTATGAAACATAGTTGATGTTACCTCCGCCAAAAAATATTGACAGTCATTTAATTTTTATTACTGACCTGCAAAAAAGTTTTCCAAAAGTATTATTGATTTTGATTCCGATTAGTAGATTGATCTTTAGTGACATAATGATACCACTGCGACTTCCAAAAAAACATATAATTAACATGCAGATAATGCATTGAATACAAATGAGTTGCTGAATGTTAATGAATGAAATCAAAATACTCTATTAATCAGATTATTGATTTGTTTTGTTTTTCATATAACATAACAATTATTGACCGTGTTTTCAGACATTATGTTTAACATCCCCCCCCCCTTCCCCCTTGGGACAAAAAAAAAATGTTCCACGTCGGTAAATATTTCATCCCTTGGGGGCTAACATAACTATTTTAGTTAGAATAATCCAACTGTGTCTCGGACAGACCCTCACTGGGTCCATATGACATATATCATTTTAATTTTAACGATAGAATATGCTATCTACCTGCACATCGTGTGAAATGTCACTGTGCACATATAATCAGGTCCAGCACAATCTCTTGGTTTAGCTATATAGTTTGATTTAGCTATATAGCTTTATTAAGCTATTCAGAATAGCTTGATTTAGCTATTCTATCACACTTTTTTCTGAAATTTTTTATTTTTTCGCACCTTGGTGCAGCAATAGTATTCTACCTTGAACTCTTCTGAAAACAATGCATGTAAATATCGCTAATCAAATTGTGTCATTTTGGGAGACTTTATACTCAAAGTTTTTAAAGTTTTGGGGCAAATGATTTGTGACCACACAGTACTTCTTGATTAAATTAAAAAGGCTGAGCAGAGGCCAATTATGGTCAACAAGATAATTGATTTGTTTGTTTGTATGTTGTTTAACTTCCCTCTCGAGAATTTTTCACTCATATGGAGACGCCACCACTTGCCGGTGGAGAGCTGCAAATTTTGTCCTATACTCGGCCATTGAGTAGTGAGGAACCTCGGTTTATACGGTCTCATCCGAAGGACCGGTCTCCATGTCTCACAGTGGGATTTGAACCCGCGATGTAAGGATCAACTCCTTACTCTGTGACTCTAGAGCAGATGCTCTAACCACTGCGCCACGTGGGCGACAATAATTGATTTGTAATAATTCAGTACAATGTGAAGAAATCATACTTATCCATGCCTCAACACACACAAGGTAGTGTACAGTTCTCCAAACAATGGAAATACATCTTTTGCTTAAGGTCTAACAACACGTTGCTCGAATATCTGTTTTGTATCTCCTCATGATATACAACAAATTAATCATAATTATTAATGTCTTGTGATTTTTAAACTGTTTTCAAAATGTCTAAGTAGTAGGTAAAGAAGCAAAGAAAGTGTGATGCTAGTGGTGCAATGCTAGTGATTTCCAATAGGATTATATAGTAAATAGCATCATCTGGTATCTTGCACAAATGCCTGGTGAGGTAACTTAATTTTACGTGAGGAAACTTGTTAAAGTAGCAATACTTCAATGACAAATTGCTTTTTTGAAAGCTCATAGTACACGTATAAATAGTCAAATACTTCAGACGTTTTGTCTATATCTCACAAAAAAATATTTTTGTGAAAAACTACATATAAATAGCTTTATTAAGCTAGTTAATAGCTTGATAAAGCTATATAGCTAAATCAAGCTATATAGCTAAATCAAGAGATTGTGCTGGACCTGATATTAAATTAAATCATAATATATGTGACTGTGTGCTTAAATTTTGCAAAATGTTATGAAAAATATATTTTTTGGATCTTTTATATAACCTAGCAGCTACAAATTCTCAGTTTTCCCCACGGTAGTCTGCAATTTTATTTTACTTTCTTTTCGACACTTACAAAAATATTACAGATGCGGGCTGCAAGTGCATATTTTAATAAAAAAGGGTTTCGAAATGAGCTTGATGTTTTGCAACATTACCTACAACAGAAACTCAGCTATCTAGAAAGTTCCAGTAGACAGTTTCTTATAAATTTTCAAAATTCTTTAATTTCTCGTCACAACTCAGGAAATATTTAAATAACTCGTACATGGATTGGAGTAGATCTGATTGATTTATTAATATGTACCATGGCACACTCGTGAAAGAAATTCTTTATTACTTGATTGTCCTGAAAATACAGATATGTATAGAGAACTAAGGCAGTGAGGTTTAACTAGATTTAGATACATCTATTATCATAAAAAGATTTGAACAACGTAAAAGTATTGCGACGAAGGAATTAAAGCTCCAAAATAACAGCTTCTCGGAGCTAGAGGTACTTGTGTGATTGATATTTCGCCTGATTAAAAAAGATTGCTGGCAGACTTATGAGGAATTCATGCTAAAGAAAAAAGGGATATTAATTCGGTATGAATCTGAGGAGGGGCGTGCCCCCATAATTTTTTTCAATATATATAAATAACTTTAGAAAATCGAGCTAATTTACAGTTGTCCCTCTCGATAATATTGCCAGTACATCAGTACATGAAAATTATTATAATGTTAGAAAACAGAGCTAATTTGCGGTTGTGCCCCCTCAACAATGTCTGCTTCAGGCTCGTAGAACGCGGGAGGGGGGTCACCCACTTTTTTCTGAGTATAGTATTCTGCTATAGTATTTTTTCCTTTAGGTGCATTTCATTTAGGTGCTGATCACCCCCCCCCCCCCCCCCCCCACACACACACACACACATTTTGTTGCTGTTAGGTCGAGCTTGGCAAATCCAGGATTTGGACAGCTTATTAGGTTTATCTTTTAGGTCCCCCCCTTTTGAATCCGTTGCTACGGGCCTAAACTTGTCTGTATCTGTTAGGTTGTGCCCCCCCCCCCCCCGAACTTAAAATTGCATCCTTTGTTCCTGTGTATCTTGGTATCTTTAAAAGAAACGCTCATCAAAGACTAAATTCTTTTAAAATATATGATAACACCATGTTTTGCAAATACTTTGACAATATCGAACGGTGTCGAGAATGAAGAATCGGACGCTCAAGAAATGACAAGGTTCGGTGAAAAATTGTGATCTTCTCATACAAAACATGAGTAGTTCCTGGTATCTTTTTTTTTAATTACCAACAGAATGGGGTTTATTTGGAAAAACACTGCATGACGACATGTGGTGATACCACAGCGACATCCTGTTAAAAGAGCAGTTGTATGCGGCCTGTGTACTCGTATAAGCATTATACGCGGGTAATTTGAAAGCACTTGATATACGTATCACAGGAATCGGAAATTTACATCTAAAATACAAGTGTGTTGGGGGTCTAGACTTCGTTGATCAGTATTGAATATTAAGAAAAAGTCTATTTATTAGCACTTCATCTGTTGCTCGTTAAGATTACTTATTTAGGATTTATATCAAGCAAAATGAAACGAAAATTAGTCTTCGATTTAAGGAGAAAATTGGACATGTAACATTTTAACTCGACAGAGAATAGATATGTATTTGTTGAAAAAAAGATTATTTCCCTCATCCTCTACCACATTTGCTCCTGAATAATAGTTGTACCTAATCACTCACCATTTCTCTTCCCTAACGTTTTGGCGATTACCCATTGTCTTACTTGTCAGAAAATTTTGAACTTTTTTTTCTAATTTGATTCTCTAATTAATATTCGCTCCCCCACTGTTTCTGAATCACGCTAGGACTACTGCAACTGCAAGCCCCCCCCCCCCCCCAGCCTTCTCTCTTTCTCCCCTCTTAGTTACAACTTAAACAAGGTGTTTTAGACAAGATACATCTGTTAAATAACTCATACATCATTTTAAATATGAATTTTACATTGAACATATATAAACATTAATTTCTTTCTTTCTTTTTGTTTTTCTGCACTTTATATCGGACCGTATTCACGACGTCAAGCGTGACGTCGTGATAGTTTATAACGTCATTCTTAAAAATGTTACATTTTGCAATGTAAAAGCAATTATTCCCATTTAAATTACGAGAAAACTAACTCGAAGACATATTAATTTTTTTACATAGATTTATCTGAAATCATCTCTGTGTGAAATGACCAAAAGGGAAACAATTTCGTCTGCACCATTTAAGAGTTACTGAGATTTTTCGAAAAGAAATCTTTCTGGAAAACGAGTCAAAAATGACGTTTTCCCTATAGAATTCAATAGAATAACGTCGAAAATGTTGCGACAACGATGACATGTTTGGGATTTAATAACGCAAAAACGATGCAGTCGAATTTTATAAAGTTTTCGGAGAATGTACAACAAAAGTAGGAGATTCATAATACAAGTACTAGTATATAATTACAGGTACATGTATAATATTTTATGGTACATTTTTGCAATCCGTATAACACACTGTGAACACAATCCACATGACTTACTGAACGAATCACTGTGACAATTCCTAATAAAAGAGACGAACTCACATTTGCACTATACCTTAATGGGTTTGGTATATCAGACAACACAGAAAACATTAAATTTGTTGATTTCCAAATTGAATAAATTCGGTTTACTTTTAATTCATTGATATCTAAAATATCGGTGTAGCTCTCTAAGTTTTGTAACGCTGTCCACTATGTATGGTATCCGTTTGATATATTTCGGTCAATTAATTCGGATAAGACTACCAGTATCTCACTTATGTTCAGTACCACAAGATCAAGCTTCTTTATATACTGGAAAGATGGGGAACGATTTAATCTTCGAGACGTTACGACATTTATGAAGACAAGTAATAGTCTTTCAAAAAACTTGCCTCAGACAATGCAATTATTTAATTTTTTTCATGAACTTAATATAACAGGCCTATGGCAACGTTTTTCAAAGGGGGGGGGTACCTCGCCCCCCAAAAAATTGACAAACCAAAAAAGTAAACTGGCTGCCCAAACTCGAAAATCCTCTTTCATAGTGTATGTGTGTGGGAGGGGGGGGGTTCTGTAACTCTTCTCGGCACATTTTTTTAATTGCTAAAATTTGTCTGTGTTTAACCGTGCAGCAACAAAAAGTGTGAGGGGGGCAAGCAGCTTCAAAATGACAATTTACATAGTTAAACTGTAACACTATATCAAAATGACTATACTCATAAAAATTGGGGACAGCCAACCCCCCCCCCCCTCCCGCCCGCCGCGTCCTAAGGCCTGTATAAGAAGTAAGGACATATATGAACGTGCATGATGAAATTTTCACAGTATTAGATGCAGGGCAAAATGTATCAAACCAGTTGACCAAATGTTGACAAAAGACTATCATTATAAAGTAAAACTGAACACAATTTCTCTTGTTTATGTGGAGTCTGTTGAAAAAAAAATTATCGTAAATATATGTCTGAAGACTAAAGATTGATCGATTGATTGTATAGTGTTTAAAGTCCCATTCGAGGTGGAGTCTGTTGAAAAAAAAGATCGTAAATATGTTAATATGTTTGAAGATTAAACATTGATCGATTGATTGCTTAACGTCCCATTCGAGTATTTTTCACTCATATGTAGAGACGTCGTATATGTTATGTTACGATGTAAAAAGAGATGAAATTTGTAGTTAAAAAGAACCTTTAACCTTAAGAATGAGGTTAAAAGATTTCCATGGAAGTGCACCCTTTCAAAAGAAAAATCCAAGAAAAAGGCGCGAAGATACATGTGTGTAATTGACATTTGGCTCGAAGTGTTTGTGTCACCCCTTTCGTAGAAGACAAATAGACTAATCCAAATAGATTAGAAACGCAGGAAAACTGTTACACGGACATGTCCGTATAGGGATTCGCAAAGAATAAACAGTTGCATGCAAAAATAATGAAGAAAATAAACACATCAATATTTTGCCTCAGTAATATGATTCTTTCTTCTGCAAGGTGTTTTTGTTAAAAAATTTGCAAAAATTCTAGCTCACTTAGCTGCTTCGTTTCTTATACTGCCTGACGCCCCTCGTCCCAGGCAATAATTAATGACACGGCGGTAGCAATGTGGAAGACCGAGTACTTTGTACCTAGGAAGAACACAGAATTCGAAGTTCATAAATTCAGACAGTCTAAACAAGCCTGTAGAAACTATTGACTCACTTCACACAAAACTTAGAAAGTTAGCTATGGATTTCCGAAAATAAAGAAGTAATTAAATCATGCACTTAAAATTCAAGGATGCAGCTCAGCAGGACTAATGAAGTTATGAACTGACCTAAAGATAGGATTCATACATATATGTGATCCTCCAGAGCTAGAGGGATTAATGGAGTTCTCGCGGATAGAACAAACAAGCGAAATTAGTCTGACGAAGTACCGAAGAAGTGAATGCATTGAGGAAACGTAGAAACAGCTAAACGAACAGTGTCCAGCAAACATTAAGACTTGTACAAGTAATAGCTTTTCAAAAAGCTTGCCTGACTAATCAATCAATATCTATGGAACGTATATGCAGGAGAGGTGCTAAACGTTTCCGTCATCAAGGAGCGACATAGTTGCGATACTTCATTATACAAGATGTACAGTTGACTTTCTCAAATTTCATAACCAAATACTACAGATTAAGGAATATCTGAGACATGCCACTATTTGGTCATTTATTAGTAAGCCCACGGGCTGACTAGTTACGTTGGGATGAAACTGCAAGTGCGCTATAGCGTAGATTATAATCAAAGGCGGATCCAGCACAGGCGCGCCGGGCGTGCCCCCCCCCCCCCCCCGTTTGAATTTTTTGTATGTAGAACTTATATGTTCATTATCCTAAAATCAAGGAAAAAACACCTCTTATTTGTAAGAATTCGTCAGCTTCCGGGGGCGAATCAGAGCTTTGCTCTGGACCCACTGGGGTTTCAATACAGCCCCCCAGACCCCATGCCTTCTACTGCGCCCTCCCGTTATGAAATTCCTGGATCCGCCACTGATAAATCTGGGAAAATAGTTTACTTAGATGATTCGTTTTAAAGAAATTCATATTACATGTACTCTCTTACTAGATGGCGCACTTCTTCATGGTCAGTGATAGATTGATGAGACGGCCTCTATTTATAGACTGGTCTGTTTTCCGTCGTTCTCGACGA